AATTGCTAAAGCAATCCTGAGAGAAAAGAATGGAGGTATCACACTTCCTGGCTTCATGCTGTACTACACAGCAACAGTTATCAAAACAGCATGGCACTGGAATAAAAACTCAGACCAATGGAACAGCACTGAAAGACCAAAGATAGAGCCTAGGGGTTAAGTCTCAGCACTGCCACAACAATGGCCCTTCACAACAGCCTGAATTCAATCCCCAATCAGGGAGCTAACAACCCACATGGCACAGCAGACCTCTCCTGTTTCACCCTTATGCAATGTATTTCAGTAGATCTGCCTGTTTCTGCTCCCCACTGTCTCTGGTGAATCGTCTCACCCCCCACACTGCTGGCCTATACCCCAGTTCTATGCAAAAATTTTAAAAAAAATCTTAAAAAAAAAAAGACCAGCGATAAACCCACACAAATATGGAAAGTTAATCCTCAATAAAGGAGCAATGTACATATAATGGAGAAGATAACCTCTTTAATAAACAGTACTGGAAACATGGATAACCACATGCAAAAAATTGAAACAAGATCCATACTTAATTCCATACACAAAAATTAATTCAAAATTAGTTAAAAATCTGGATATAAGAACCAAAGCCATAAAATACTTGAAAGAAAACATAGGGGACACAAAAGAGGACATCTACCACAAAGATGTATTTGGGGACTCAACACCAACAACTAAGGAAATGAGAACAAAAATAAACAAATGGGACTATATCAAACTGAAAAGTTTTTGTTCCTGAGAAGAAACCATCACAAAAAAACCAGAAAAACAACCAACAGAATCGGGGGAAAAAAAGTGCATATCACGTATCTGACAAAGGGCTAATCTCGAAAATTCATTTTTTATACAATCCAACAATAAAAAACATACAAACCAATCAAAAAACGGGCAAAGGACCCAAATAGATATTTTCTAAGATGATATTCAGATGACCTGTGGACATGAAAAATTGTTCAACATCACTAATTACAAGGGAAATACAAATCAAAAACCACAATATCACCTTACCCCTGAGAGAATGGCCCATACAAAAAAGAACATAATCAACAAATGTTGGCAAGGAATTGGGGAAAAAGGAACTCTCATCCACTGTTGATAAATACAAGTTGGTGTAGCCCTTATGGAAAACAGTATGGAGATTTCTTAAGAAAATAAAAATGGAAATTCTGTATGATCCAGCAATATATGTACTAGGTGTTTATTCAAATAATATCAAAACTAATATAAAAATTTATCTACGCCTTGTATATAACAGCACTGTCTATAACTTCCAAATCACGGAACCAACCCAAGTGTCCTTTCACAGATAAAGAAATTGTGGAATACTTAATACTACACAGCTGTGAAAAATGATGACAAGTAACATGTAGGACAAAATGGATGGACCTTAGGTGATTAAGTGAAATAAGACAAAAGGTGAAAAACAGGTCTCAGGTGGTTTTACTCATCTGTGGAAAGTAAATAACCAAAAAACACACAGGCAAAATATAATAGGAATAAATCTTTAACTCAATGAAAGAATGTAACATTTAATAGAGGGAACTGGGGGGGGGTATTGACACAGGTAGTTTCTTGAAGGGTGAAACGTGCTCTTATGGAAGAGCATAAAATATAATTAAATGTCAATCAATTACAATCAATTTTACTGCCTCAAAACTGGTTAGACGGCTTATTGTGTTTTTTAAATAGGAAAAATTTCAAAGAGCATTAAAATCTCTTTTGAAGTAATAAATGTACTTTTTTTTTAAGATTTATTTTTCTTTATGCATTGTAGCGGCAGGAAAGGCCAGAGCAGGATCTCTATGACCTGAGCAGACCGGGTAAAGGAGAGAGTCCTGGCGCCCTCAGTGACTTCTGCAGGCTTTTACTGGGATTTACAAGGTACATGGCAGGCCTCCCAGCCCCCAGCAAGTCTTCACTCTCCCCGGGCTCTCTAGAGTTCTTTTGTGGTCTTTGCTTCTCTGCTCCTTTCGCTCTTTTCATTCTGCTGGTGTCTTCGTGATGCCCCCCCCTTATAAGCAGTCTTAGCCCAGGTGAATCCCGTCTACCTATGCCCACACCCTACTCCAGGCGTCTGCCATCAGGCATGCATTCAGGACCAGGACCGCAAGGATCCATCATCAATCCTAATGGGGGGGGGGGGGGGAGCAGAAAAGCCTGATATTTTTACCTTACCCTACAGCATAGGCCAGAGGTATAGGCCTGAGGTGCAAGAGGTGAGAGGATTCACCAGAGACCAAGTGAGGAGCAGAAAAGGCAGATCTACTGAAATACACTCCTATGGGGAGCAGCAGGAGAGGCCTGCTATGCTATGTGGGTTAGTAGGCTCCCTGGTGGGGGATTGAGACCATGCTGCAGTGGTGCTGACACTTTAACCCCTGCACCACCAGGGAGGCTCATAAATGTACTTTAAACAATGTACTTTAATTATGTTATTAAAATGGTGCTTGTGAGAAAGTAATCATGTATCACTTAGTTGTAGGATTTTTCTCACTTCACAACAGTCCAATCCTTTAACCTGTTACAGTGTGATAAAGTAGAAAAACTCTAGATTTGGAGCCAAAAATCCTACATTACTACCAGCTGTAACTGTGTGAGCTGAGATTCCAAGAGTGAAGGTGACCAATCTTTCAGATGATTTTTAAGGGATTTCACCTGAGTTACTAACATATACTCCATATCATTTCCCTTATTTCATATGAAGGAACTTTTAAGGCCAAAGGCATTAAATAATGAAATATGCCCTGAAATATAATAAAGGAAAATTCTGCCAACTCACTGAAGAGGCTCAATGAGTGCCCCTAGTCGGTAGGACAGGTGTGGGCAGTCTGAGAACCTGCCCTAAGTAACCAGAAATGAAAACAATGTTGTATAAAGATGTGCCATTTTAAACTTTACATTAGAATATAATTACAGTAACACTTTTAATGTCTAAAAGTTGAATACAAACATTCAATCACAGTGAACAATGACAAATTTAGATAAAATGTTAACCACTAAAAATTACCATCTTTTAGCAAAATAAAACACTTATAGTTAACACTCTAAGAAATACTATATGACCCAAAACTATTTGTGTTTAGGGTTTCATTCTGTATTTCTGTAGGACTACATTGATGTTAAAAATAAAGATTAGAAACAAAAGGTTGCATCCAAACAGTTTTTACATAGGTTATTTACAGGTTTCGAAATTAAGGGTAACTTTTAGCTTTCTGTTTATACATCTCAGTCAATCCTTCCCAATTTTTCTATAAAACATACATATTACTTTTATAATTGGGGAGAAAGTTTGGCCTATTCAGCTGATGTAGATGGGACGGAAAGTAACTTGTTGCAGGGCTAAAGACACTTAAGTTTCAAAAAATCCATAAGTTAATTCTTATGGGTATTTATTGATGGTTTAAATTTTAAAGTAAAAATCAAGACTACTACATTTTTAAATAGTGATGAATGTAATATAGTATCAGATTTGAAGGCACAGAATTCTCCATCAAAGATAAGGGGAATCATTATGTGATACACTTGAAACTAATACAATCAATTATGTTCATTTATGATGCACTCCTGAAACTTGTTTATTAATGCAGTTACTTCAATTAAAAAATTAATTAAAAAAGCTGACTAAAAGTACAGGGCAGAGTCTACTTGGCACTTGGTGACAGTGACTAATTCCTCTCTAGCCCTTAAATTCTACAGGGCCAAAAGACATTTGGTATGTTTTGAAAGATGGGGGAAGGGAGGTGATTGATAATCTAGAAAAAGTTACCGGCAAGTAGCTTAAGTGGAAAAGTGGGATACTGGAAATGCCTGCAAACGCTTAAATAATTCTTGCACGCATGGATTAACCAGTGGTAGTGGGTTATGGAAATCCATGCATCCAGGATTTTGGAGGATTTCACATACTTAACCCTTCTGCCCATAAACATACTCAAACTCGGACTACCTGCCTGTTTTTAATTATGAAAACATGATGCTGTATCTCCGCCTATGGTTACAATTATGAACCACCATCACGTCCAGAAGGGGGACCGACAGCAAGAGGGTCAAGCGTGCATAATTCCTAGGCATATGCCTGGTATACCTGGGGTGTGTTCCGAGCGTTGGCGACGCCGGGAGAAAACTTTTTATTAACCTCTCCGGCTCGTGGGTCACGGGGCTCAATCCCCGGTAACTTTACAGGCGCTAAACAAACCTACGCCTGCTTCTCCTCTGCAGGCCCTGACGTCGGCCAAGCAGACACCTGGAATTCGCTGGGTGGAAACATTTTTAAAACTAGTAATAATTAACGCCTTTTCAGTAGCCTTTCCAACCTGGAGTTAGGTATATTTGACTACACAAGCAGAAGAGGAAGAGGCTTGAAAGTCTCGCTGCACCGGGCGAGAAGACCTAGAATACGGCAAGCTGCAAAGCCGGGGGCTGCACCAGACCCGGTGGGGGCTGCAGAGACCGCCCAGACCTGCCCTGCCGACTAGGGGGGGCCCTCACCGAGCCTCTAAACGGCTCGGCAGCGCCAGGGAGGCAGCCCGTGCGCCGCCGGCGGGAGAGACTGCGTGGCCGCCGCGTCCCTCAAAGGCCTCGGCCGGGTCCGACCTCAGACAGCCAACCCCACGTCCCGCGTCCGGCCTGGGGGCCCCGCGCGCCCGAGAGTTACCTGCAGCAGGTGCAGCTGGGTCACGAGGAGCCGCGGCAAGTGGAGGAAGCAGTCGCGCGCGTTGGTGAAGGTCACGGTCACAGCCGCTCCACCGCCCCCAGCGCCCGGCAGGCGGTCGCCACCCCACATGTTATCCAAGTGCACTCGCCCCAAGCCGCCCGCGCCAGCCGACCCCGCCGCCCGCCCAGGCCGCGGGCCTCCCGGCCCGAGAAAACTCGATCGGCCCCGCCCCCTGAGGCCCCGCCCCCTCAGGCGTCTCGCTGCGTCCCCGTAGTGGGAGGGGCCGACACGCCCAGGCTCTCCGCCTCGTCGCTGATAGGACGACGCCTTTTCCATCAAATCCGCCCTCGCAGGAAACGATGGCTGACGCTGTCGATTCCCCAGCCAATCCCAGCACGCCTTAACCCATCGCTCTCCCTTATTGGGTAAACGGCAGCGCCGCGAGGCGGATGTTGTCTTCTCTGCGACGATCAATGCCCCCAAGATGGCGTCGAGTGGCGGTGAGATTGGGGGCTTGTTAGACCACCACGTCCAAAGGGCGGTATGCGACTCGCGCGCCAAGTATCGGGAGGGGCGACGGCCTCGAGCAGTCAAGGTAAAGTGGTTGCGGCTTCATTCGCTAATCCTCGGTAGGTTTATGTGAGCTCTAACTCCAGTTGCTCAGCCTCTGTAAATACGGACTTGAGAAGGCTGCTGTCACAGTCATCACTGATCGGAGATGAGTTTTGAAGAATCAAAACTTGGGAAGTATGTCGATGAAAATAGTCTGTTACATGCTGTAGATCGAGGCTCTCACACATAGGGTGAATTGCTTATGCGGAGAGTGGCAATTTTTTTACTTTCTATTTTCTGCTTACAGGTTGGACAAGATATTTGTTTTCATAGTTCTTTAAAATAGCAGGGTTGACCTGGGTTTATTTAATGTGTTTGCATTTCCTGTAGGTATATACAATCAATTTGGAATCTCGATACTTATTAATACAAGGAGTTCCTGCAGTGGGAGCAATGAAGGAATTAGTTGAGCGATTTGCTCTATATGGTGCAATTGAGCAGTATAACGCCCTAGATGAATACCCAGCAGAAGACTTTACCGAAGTTTATCTTATTAAATTTCTAAATTTACAAAGTGCAAGGTAATATACAAGTTAAGTACTATTTCATTTCCTCCATTCCCATTGTTATCATTTTGACCCCAGGTTTCCCTCATTCATACCTGAATTACCCAATAATCTAATACATATTAGATTAACTATTGTCTTCCTCCAGTTGTTTTAAATGTTAGCCTTACCAAAATACCTTTCACATCATGTCATTCCCATACTTAAGTATTTTCTGTTACGTAGTTGGTAGATTAAAAATTGTGTTTGGAGTAAGTGTTCCAGTTCCACTGCGTACTAACATCGTGACCATGTCAAGTTATTTCCATTATGCCTGTTTTTCCTATTCTGTAAAATTCATATGGTAAAAGGACCTACTTCTTGAGAGTGCTTGAATATGTTACAGTGTTTAACATAGTGCCTCCTGTACAGAATGCAGTAAACATTACCTATTGAGATTCTGTTTTGCACTTAGGTGAATTGACCCCATCTTTTCCAGCCTTCTGTGTAACATTAAACCCCTGCTCAAGGCTGAAGCATGAAATAACTTACCTATTTTTATGTTTTCCCCTATTCTTGTTACTAATCCAAGACCCATCCTTCCTTGATTATTAACAACTAATATTTTCTGTGCTATGAATAGCACTTTTAGTGTGCCACAAAAACACTAGATTTTATAGAGGCTCATGTGCTCTCAGGTTGCTCTTACATGTAATCTCATATCCCTGACATGATAGTTCCTCACAGCTAGAGGAACGTATTTTCTAGAGTTTTTACATCTCTCACAGCACCTAGTAGTAGACCATGGAGTTTGATATCTGGATTTGAATCCTAGCTTCACAAACCATTGTGAGCATGAGCAAGTTATATAATCTTCCACATCTCACTTTCATCATTCAAGTGAAGTACTTAGGATATTATATGGTGCGTGGTAAAATCTCAGCAAGTATTACCATTATCCCTGGTTCAGAAGTATTTATGTATATATTGTTGTGGTTCTAGGCCAGCCATAGATAGTTAATAAATATTTGTTGAATGGGTGCCAGCCTCCCATTTTCTAACTTGTTAGTTGTCGTATATTCAATATTTGCTCAATTATTAAAGATTTTACAATTATAATTTTAATGTATTTCTTTTTAGCTACATCATGTGCTAAAAAAGCTACATTGGGTATGAACTAACTCAAGGATTATTTAAATTAACACAGAAGAATCTCCATTTCATAATCATGGATTGTGTACCTCAGGCTAACCAGTTGAATCAAAAGTTGATTAAAGGGAGTCCAAAAAAAAAGAAAAAAAGGGGGGGAGTCTGGATATGTGTGGGTGACATCCCTCAAAATCTGTTAACACTACTGAGAGAAGATAGGAAAGACTGAAAGTATGCACTGGGTCAGTAGGATCAATACCATCCACAGATGAATCAGTGCATCTACATTCCTGAACCCTAATATGAATAGACACAAAAGCTGTACTTAGCTCTTTAGATCAATGTACTATATACTAGTTAAGCTTTACATCCTAAGTAAATCTAGATTAATAAACTATGCCATCCATTTTTTTTTTTTTTTTTAGGATAGCCAAGAGAAAAATGGATGAACAGAGTTTCTTTGGTGGATTGCTTCATGTGTGCTATGCTCCAGAATTTGAAACAGTTGAAGAAACTAGAAAAAAATTACAAGAGAGGAAGACTTATATAGCAAGAACTACTAAAAATAAAGGTATAGAAAGCCTGTTAGTAACCACCTTCTACATGTCAGACATTCTGTTTCGTGTGTTATCACGGAGTTCCCAGTCTAGGCAACTCCATAATGATACTTAGGCAAACAAATGATCACGTATTCAATAACTATAAAATACAGATTATGTGCAGACCTCTGCGTAATCTGGGCTGGGGAGGGAGAGATGTTTGTGAAAGAATTCTATAGAATATGAGAGGTGGGTGAGGTTTGAAGATTAAGAAGCAATATGCAGAAGAGGAGAGGAAGACATGGAAAAGTGAACAAGGTCAAATTTTTAAATGACCAGAGGAATAAAAGAGCATCATGCATTTTAGGAATTGTGAGTAGTATAGTATAACCACAGCATAGGGGCTTCAGTAGTGACAAGATTAGAATCATAAAGTAAATCATGAAGGGTCTTATGTCCTATGCTAACAGACTTTTTACCTAAAGGTAATGAGAAACAATTATGATTTGCAGACCAGTTGCCAATTGCTAATCTAAAACTGCCAAAAGTGGAAAAGTTTCACTTTTGACCAGCAGCTGACCAGACACCCCATAATCCCAACAAAATGTCCTTGGACACAGCAAATCCAAGTGCCTAGAACAGACTCATGGATCAGGCACTTAGATTATAGGACTAGAGAAGTCAGAATTAGACTAAGATAATGCATGTAGTGTGAAGTCTGAATAATAGCAGATGTACACATTTCCAGCCTTCAGTTAAGAAATAAAGTCAGTATCCCATACAGCTATTGATGGTGATGATGAGTTTAAGGCTCATTAGGGAAGGAGCATGTGTTATAAAGAAATAAGGTGGGAAAAGTCTTGGGAAATTTACCTGAAAATCTGGTGAGAGCGTTGTTAAGAGCCCTGGTCATTTTTAGAAACTGAATGTTAACCTGTAAGATATGTAAATAATTAGCTCCAGGAACTCTTGTTTGCCTGTGGCAAAGGAAATTATAAAATATTAGTGCCTTTGAGATTATCTAACTCGTCCTAATTTTCATAAGTAAGAAAACCAAGGCTCAAAAAGTTTTGACTGGCTTATTCCACCAGACATAAATTAGGAGCAAAACAGCAATTAAAACCCAAGTATTTGCATTTTCTTTCCAGATCTTACTTTTAAACTGCTTTATTTATATCAGTCATGGTGATAGAAAGCTAGCATTGCCATTATCTGCTCCTCTTCCTTTTACCCTGCGGGCCTCCCTCCTGGAGCAAGGAGTTAAGTCTCAGCACTGTCAAGCAATGAGCAGCCACTACAGCATGAGCCCTGGCCAGGAAGCTAACCCACATGGTGCAGCAGACCTCTCCTGTCCTGCCCACTGTTCCCCTCAGCAGTGTATTTCAGTAAATCCTCCTGTTTTGCTCCCTACTGTCTCTTGTAAATCCTCTCACCTCCTCAGAATTATTCTCTGTGTTGCTCCAGTTTTTAAAGGCAGCATAATAGTGTTTTTAACTAGGGCTTGTTTGGTCCTGGGACTTCAATTAACAGCATTCTAGAATCTCCACTGTGTATTTGCATACTTGGTCTCACTTTTTAAAAACTTTTTTAATGGAAATTTCAAAACATACAAAGGTAGAAAGACTAAGGCTGTCTCTTATATGAATAACAGAAGTTATCAACACATAACCAATTTTATTTCTCCTTTACCACGTTTTCCACATCCGACTCTGGTGATGTAGTCTGCTTTTGGGGAGCTAGATCAGGAAAGAAACCCATGCAATTGCTAAAAGAGAAATTATCTCTCTTAAAAATTAGCAAATCAAATTAAAATCTGATCTATTTAGATAAAATACTCTGAAGCTGTAAAAAAAAAAAAAAAGCAGCAGCTTTCAAGTAATAACATGGAAAAACTCCATGTTATTGGCAGATCTACAGAGAAGTGGAAAACATGAAAGTACAGAGAAATGGGTATTACAGGAGAGAAAGAAGGGTACGTGAAAGAAGGAGAAGTAAGACATACTAAACAGTCCAATAAGGAAGTAAGAATAGGGCCTCCCCAGTGGCGCAGCAGTTGAGCGCTGGGTTGCGAAGCTGCCTGCAGCCTCTGCAGCGCTGGTTCGATCCCCGGCTGCTCCCCGGCCACCGGAGGAGGGTCCCACATGGCGCGACAGACCTCTCCTGCCGCCCGCTGCTCCCCTCAGCAGTGTACTTCGGTCCTTCTGCCTGCTCTGCTCCCCGCTCTGGCTCTGGTGAATTCTCTCACCCTCCTGCGCTTCTGACTGTACCCTGTGCTTGTATAAATAAATAAATAAATCTTAAAAAAAAAAAAAAAAAAAGAATAGTGATCACTTAGGATAGTGAACAGTGAACAAGAAAAGAGTGAATGAAGCCTGACACTAACATACCTTTTACCTTTGTGAGCTTTTGAACCACATGAATATTGCCTACTCAAGAAATAAATTTCTCAGGACCACATTTTTTAATGTTCTATAGCAGTGTTTGTTTTTAAAACTATGTTTCTGAATGATGAAAACAAAAACTGAACTATTTCTATCCCCCTTTCCTTCCTCTTTATATTGTGATGTAAAGATCATTACATGACAAAGAAGCAGCTGGTCACACAGCATAAAGGCACAAAAGATGTTAGACAGGACTTCCATTCAGAGACAACTGGATTTTGTGCAGCCACTTTGAACACTTCTGGTAACTCAGATCCTTGCCTGCCTTATTCTTGTGAATTGCCTTTGTGTTACTTCTCCTCAAAATGTACATGTTCATCAGGGAAGCATGTGAACAGAGCATCAAAGTCCTCTCAGGATGATAGAAACCATGATGAAATAGTGGCGCACTGTAGCCACAATGACTTTCTGCAGAAAATACAAATGAAAACTTTTAAAAATTCAGTGGCCTGCCCAATTACACAGAAGGCTGTTACTCCTTTAGAGGCAGTTGACAGGTTTATGCCTCGGACAACACAACTGCAGGAACGGAAAAGAAGAAGAGAAGATGATCGGAAGCTTGAAACTTTTCTTGAAACAAGCACGAGTAGTAATGAGGTTATAATTGGGCCACTGTTGCCAGATATACCTAAAGTGGATATGCATGACCACTCATTAAACACAACAGCAAATTTAATTCGGAATAAACTTAAAGAGGTAAGATCATTTTTTTATAAAATGTTTTAAGGGCTGATTTGTTTATAGAACTAACAACTAGAGAATTTGGAAACTGGGGTATTTTCAATTTTTTTTTTTTTTTTTTTTAGATTTAGTTTTTTGATATGTTTTCCTATAATTCTCTGTTAAATAAACTGAATTTCATTAACAGAAATGTATTTGCCGCAATGCAATTAATCCTTATTTTAAATAATGAACAGAGCATATTTTATATTGCTGTAGATATAAAATACCAATCTGTGAGAGTGAAGCTCAGGCCCACTTTAGGCGCATTTTAAAATACGTAATTATTTTCAGTGAGCCTCATTGAAAATACAAAATTATTTTCTATTTCCTGAAAGATACTGTTTTGTGAAATACACTTTTTAGAAATCATTAACTGAGGAAGAAAGATGATTCTTTTGTATTTTAATTTTGAAATACAGAAAGTGCTTTTCACACAGTTATATGTATTTTTACAGTTTCATATTTTTTACAGTGATCAAGGAGGCTGACAGCATAATTTCTTTTATATAATTTTTACCTGAAAATTATAGACGCAATTTCTATTCTTAAGCCATTTTAAAATTTTTAGTTTTTGCTGGCACCTATCCTTACTAAACTAAATGCAGGCATAGATATAGATACATAGATGTCTCGGCTAGAGCTGATTATATTTTTAAAGAAAAAAGTACTAGATCCAAATGTTAGGTACAGAAATAGTGGATAGCAAAAAGGAGAAACAATTAATTATTTATTATTTACTACTAAAATCTTATTCTGGGCCTCCCTGGTGCTATCATCACTACAGCATGAATTCAATGCCTGGCCAGGGAGCTAACCCACATGGCACAGCAGACCTCTCCTGTCTTGCCCACTGCTCCCCTTAGCAGTTCATTTCAGTAGTTCTGCCTGTTCTGCTCCCCACTCTGTCTCTGGTGAGCCCTCTGGTGACCCCCTACACCTCTGGCCTGTATCCCAGTTCTTCTACATAAAAATAAATCTTTTTTAAAAAAATTGATACTATTTAATACATAAATCTTATTCTGCTTTAATTTACTGTACACTTTTTCTGATGATGTTTGGTTTTCGTTTATCCCTAAGAAATTGAGGATTGTACCATTTTCTGCATATTTTTTCTAATGTTTATCCCATGCCTCCTCCAAGCCTTCATGTCTCTAAATACATCAGACAACAACAGTGTCTCAAGTTATACATAACCAGGATATCTGTCAATATACAAAAAGTAACAAGTGACTTTAGGTCTATAAAGAAGTATTTTTACTTTACTTCCCCCCTTTTTTCCATGTTAATTAGCTTTAGCAATTTTAATGTAATCAGTACTTGGATAGAAGAACTGCTCTGTGCTTAGATTACAGGCCGTACCTTGAGCTTGGCCTAACTCTGCCTCAAACGTAAGGCAAGGACTAAACTATAGGATGTATATCCTATCTTTTCTCATGATTTACTCTTGTGGTATCAAAACTAAATTTTGTGGGTTCTCTTATTTTAAAACCAGGTAACTTCATCTGTGCCCAACCCTCCAAAGGACAAGCTGGGAGATGTGCATACAAACCATCCACTAAAACAAAGAAGAAGAATATAGATTGCCAGCAGCAGACTTTCTGAGGGCCTTTTTTTTTTTTTAAAGCCAGTCACATTAATTCTTGAAGAGATTTTATGACTAGTATTTTTTCTAATGCACTCCTTTTTGTGATTTCATTCAAGCTGATTGTGTAATATAGCTTGTTCTTTTAAAATTAGTTCATTATTTTATTACACAAACTATCTTTATAACATTACCTCTCACATAATTATTATATGTTAATTGGAGCAAAAAATAGAAACTTTACAGTACAAATAAATACATGCAACAAGGATCTATTTCTCATTTTAATACAAGTATTGAGTGATTGACATTCAAAAACTGGAAGACAGTATATGTCTGAATGCCAGAGCTTCAAAATCAAGACATTTCTGTAAAGTAAAAAGGTTAATCGATTAGAACAAAGCTGAAATTAGAATCTCACATGCTTTAATTTCAAAGCATTTACTTGAGCTAAGTAAATTAGATCGAAGTAAATTTTGCTAAGTAAAGCAAAAATTAATCAGTACTTTTAAGTGCTAGACTTCTAGCACTACTTATAACACTCCCACATCTTTTTTTTTTCTTCATGAACCACGTAATTGGAAATCCAAGTATGTCTATGTCTAAGCTGTTTACATTTCTTTAACTCCTTAACTGATAAAAATAACTTGAAGAAAAACAGACCAAAAATTTTTTGATTAAAAAAATAATTTGAAAAAATATTACTGAACGTTGTCTGTTTTTCACTTCTCTATAAGGATCTCTTGCATAATGGATTGAATTTGAACATATCAAATAAAGTTAATCTCCAGTTTCGAAGTACTGACTTAAATGTAGTAGGATGACAGTAAGTGGTATTAAAAGAAGCTTCAGGAAAAGAGTTTAGCTATACTTCCTTATAAGGTAAAAGATGTATTAGAGACCTGAGCAGAGAATTGAAAAGAACAAGTTGCTGTATAGGCCAGTCTTCTGGAACTTTAAGGTGCTATGAATCTTTATCTGAATGACTTGCTAAATGAAGATTCTGATGGTGGTGGCCAGGGGCTGGTGAGTGGGGGGAATGGGGAGTTTTTGTTTTGTTTTGAAGATTTATGTATTTATACAAGCACTGGGTACAGTCAGAAGTGCGGGAGGGTGAGAGAATTCACCAGAGCCAGAGCAGAGAGCAGAATAGGCAAACTGATGAAGTACACTGCTGAGGGGAGCAGCGGGCGGCAGGAGAGGTCTGCGCCACAGGGGAGGCCCAGGAATGGGGAGTTTTTGAAAGGATATAGAGTTTTAGTTTCACAAGATGAAAAGATTTCCAGAGATTGGTCTTAAAACAGTGTGAATGTACTTTATTAAATGTGCACTTAAAATTAATTTAGTTGGTAAATTTTATGTTAGGTATATTTTACCACAATTAAAAACAATGTCTCTGACATCCCTAGAGGGAGGAACTGCTAAGTGGTTGTTTTCTGAGTGGGTACCTGATCTGTTCATGTGTGGAGACCAGCACTCATCCCCATTTCTGCCAATATATACAATATTAATTGATGATGAGAAAGATACCTTTGTTGTGTTGTGTGTGTATGTGTGTCTGTATGTATGTGATATAGCCTCTGCATAACTGGGCTAGAAATGAAGTTCTGGATGCTGCTGAAGGACTGTTAGTGTTGAATTCTAACTTTAGTAGTAACACCAAGTCAGTCCACAATTTGTACTGTTTAATCCATCAGTCTCAAAAAAAGTCTACCTTGGAGGCATATTTTTTTAACCACATATTTCCAGACATAAAATTTGGGGGTAGGACCTCCCTGGTGGCACAGCGGTCGAACGCTGGGTTGCGAAGCTGCCCGCAGCCTCCGTAGCGCCGGTTCAATCCCCAGCTGCCAGGTGAGGGTCCCACATGGTGCACAGACCTCTCCTGCCACCAGCTGCTCCCTTCAGCAGTGTACTGTGTCATTCTGCCTGTTCTGCTCCCCGCTCTGGCTCTGGTGAATTCTCTCACCCTCCCGCGCTTCTGACTGTACCCAGTGCTTGTATAAATAAATAAATAAATCTAAAAAAAAATTGGGGGGTAAAGTACAATGGGATAAGTTATTGAGACAAATTGAGAAGGCTAAGGGTAGCTTAACTTTATGCTCAGTCATTCACAAAATCATTTAAGTCCTTCAGAGAATAAGGTTTATCCCTATATCATATTTGTAAAGCATACTTGATCAAATGAAGAAATAAAGGAAATGTTAATGAGTGAAATCAATGAGTAAGCTGATTGAACTCAGAAAACTTCAAATTCATACAAAACACAAAACACTGTAAAGTACATGTGACCAACATCTCTTTTTAAAGACTGACTGACTTATTTATACAAGAACCTGGGTACAGGCCAGATGTGCAGGTGGGTGAGAGGATTCACCAGAGCCAGAACGGGGAACAGAACTGGCAGACTGACAAAATACACTGCTGAGGGGAGCAGCGGGCACGACAGGAGAGGTCTGCAGCGCTAAGTGGGACCCTCGCTGGCCGGCTGGGATTGAACCGGTGCTGCAGAGGCTGTGGACAGCTTCACAGCGCTGTACTCAACCACCTGTGCCACCAGGGGAGGCCCCATGTGTCCAATATTTTAAAAAGTATTCTCATTGCTTGACAATATTTGGGTTGAAAAAGAGCAAGTGTTCTAGCAGTTTATAGTAGGTACTTGCTGAACACATTCTTTATTCACAGTTCTCTCTTAACCATGCCAATATACCCTGGTTTTCTTTAGGAAAATAGCATTAATATAGAGGAAAATCAAGAGTTGTGTATAGCCAGAGAGATCACAAATTCAATAAAAGTCTGTTGAATATAATTACTTGAGGGCCTCCCCTGGTGGCGCAGCTGTTGAGCACTGGGCTGCAAAGCTGCTCTCAGCCTGTGCAGCACTGATTCGATCCCCGGCCGACGGCGAGGGTCCCACATGGTGCGACAGACCTCTCCTGCTGCACCCGCTGCTCCCCTCAGCAGTGTATCTCATCAGTCTGCCTGTTTTGCTTCCCACTCTGGCTCTGGTGAATCCTCTCACCCTCCCACGTTTCTGACTGTACCCAGTGCTTGTATAAATAAATAAATATATCTTCAAAAAAAATAATTACTTGAATAGTCACTAATGGTTTGAGTCTCAAAATGCTAGGATGGGACCATGACCTATAGTTGCCTGAATTTCAGCAGTAAGTTGAAGGCCTGCATAGGTGAATATCTAGCAAGTATTACTTTATGATCCTTTCAAATTTTTTTCAACTCATTAGGCCATTAGCTCTGTACCTTTGCTTCTGGTAAACATGGTCCAAATACTTCCAACAAAAGTCTCTCTTCTTTCACTGCTTTTTCAAAGTCTGCGAAAGATATCTTGCCATCATTGTCATAATCCTAGAGAGAAAGATGATTTCTTGATAAAGTAGATTTTAATTGTGCATGTTAAATACCTATCTAGAATAAAAAGGTTTTACTAAATAAAAAGACACTAAAATGGGGGAATTTTGTTTTATCTAAATTATAAAAAAAAAATAAAATTGATGAATTACTTCTTCTGGTACCACTGGATCCAGGTTTTCACATGATGTCATGACCTGGCCCCATGCTATACTCCTCTCAGTTCTGCTTTCATTCAGGCTTACTTTACTCTGAGGAAGGCCCTCTGCTCCTGGTGACAAGACAGTCCCCAGTAGCTCAAGATTTATACACTTCCCTTATAACTCCAAAGAAACAAGATCTTTTTGTCTATATTTACAGAAAAATCTATGGGCATGAGTCCCTCATAAGTCCATCCTTGAGCCAATCACCCAAACTAATCCTTTGGTTAGACAAAAACAAAACACCACAAAACAGAAAACCACACATACACAAAAACAGAGTTCACTCTTCTGTAGACCTGCTTATATAAATCAAAAGGTGCTTATGGAGGTCACTTACTGTATTCCGACTGGTCTAATGGGAATACCTGGTATTATGAATTGAATGTTGGTGTTCACTCCCCCAAAATTTTATATGTTAAAGCTCTAACTCCCAATATGATAGAATTTGGAGGTGGGGCTGTTGGAAGGTAATTAGGTTTATACAAAGCCATGAAGGTGGGGTCTCTGTAATGTTATTAGCATCATCAGCATGATGTAAGTAAACCAGGGCTCCCTCTGCTGTGTGAGGACACTGAAGAAGTTGGTGACTGCAAGGCAGGAAGAGCTCTCTCGCCAGAAGACTGAATTGGCTGGCACCTTAATCTTGTTCTTCCCAGCCTCCAGAATTGTGAAAAATAAATTCCTATTGTTTAATCTATCTAGTCTATGATATCTTGTTATCTGAGAATACTAAGACACCTGAGTTATGTAGCCCTGTTCCTAAAACTTGTACTCTAACTGGGACTGTAAGACCAAAAATAAGAGGAAGCCCACTATTGCTGCTTTTGTGATAAACTAAGTACCACAGGGTGATGATCTTAAGCTTAATTTTTAGTAGTAGAGCATGTTGCTCAAAAGATCTTATTTCAGGGGCCTCCCTAGTGGCACAGGGTTGAAGTCTCGGTGCTGTCAGACTACCGCTAGCCATTGCAGTGTGGGTTCTATCCCTGGCCAGGGAGCTAACCCACATGGCACAGCAGACCTCTCTTGTCTCATCCGCTGCTCCCCTCAGCAGTGTATTTCAGTCAGTCTGACTATTCTGCTCCCCACTTTGTCTCTGGTAAATCCTCTCACCGTCTGCACCCCTAGCCTACACCCCAGTTCTTGTAATCATAAATAAATAAAAATAAATCTTTTAAAAAAAAACTTATTTTGGGGTGCATCATGTGAAAAGACCAGTTAAGGAGCAAAGCACTAGGAGTTAGAGCATTAAAAGTTCGAGATGGACTAGAATTGTAAGACGCACAAGACATAGTTTGTAGATGACATCTAGTTGACAGGGATCCAGATAGGTGGAGAGACATGTGAGGAGGAAATACAGAAAAATGGCCAACCTGAATTATGACAGTAAGCAGGAGTGAGTATAAGTCTGTAAGAAGACAAAGCTGCCTGGAACACAGCATTTGTGACAGGGACTTTGGGAGATTAAGTGAATCACAGGGATAGATGCATGTGTGTAGATACTTAATCCTTTACCTTGAACTTGGATTTGATTGGATGGATCCTTTGTTTTTTTTTTAACTAAATCATGGTTGCTAAAGGTCTAATCTAGAGAAAGGTTTGAATTAGTGTAAGAAAAATGTTCATTCCATAACATTTCCTTTCAAAAAGGAGGTGGATTTCACACTGGGGAACACTGTTTCTCAAGTACTCTCAGAGCCTCCCTGGTGGCACAAGGGGTTAAGACACAACCTGTGAAACTATCCGCAGCCACTGAAGCACGAGGTCGATCCCCAGGCAGGGAGCTACCCACATGGCACAGCAGACCTCTCCTGACTTTCCCACTGCTCTCCTCAGCAGTGTATTTCAGTCGATCTGCCTGTTCTGTTTCCACTCTGACTCTGGTGAATTCCTCACTCCCCCCCACCCCACACACACACCTCTGGCCTATACCTCACTTCTTGTATGCATAAATAAATAAATCTTTTTTTTTTTTTTTGTGGGACCCTTGCTGGCGGCCGGGGAATGAACCAGCGCCTCAGAGGCTGCAGCCCAGCGCTCAACCACTGCGCCACCAGGGGAGGCCCAATAAATCTTTAAAAAGAAAAAAAAAGTACTCTCAGCCTAAGCCATAATTGGTGAGAATATTTCTGATGAAAGAGGATAGTAAGGAGCCTGTGGTAGCTCAATCTGACTCTCACAGCTCCCATTAATCTGCTTCTTTTCCAAACTCCAGAATAATGTAAGTGACTCAGTCTGGGCTGCCTTAGCGTCACAAATGTTCAGTGGTATCCATTTTCGGGTCATAGAAAGAAAAGGATAGAAATCACAATGACTAAAATTTAAAAGTACAATTGTTCACTGAAAAACATATTCTGCACCCCTTTTTCTAGCCTGACCTTGGATAATCTTTTTTTTAAGATTTATTTTTTATTTATACACTAGCTGGGGTACAGGCCAGAGGCGCGGGAGGGTGAAAGGATTCACCAGAGCCAGAGTGGGGAGCAGAACAGGCAGACAGACCAAAAGCACTGCTGAGGGGAGCAGCAGCACAACAGGAGAGGTCTGCCGTGTCATGTGAAAATCTCCCTGGCTGGCCGGGAATTGAACCCGTGCTACAGAGGCTGTGGACAGCTTCACAGCACTGTGCCCGATGCGCTGTGCCACTGGGGATGCCCGACCTTGGGTAATCTATCTGTACTCTTCACTTTACTCATCTGCAAATAAAAATAATAATTTCTATTTCATAGGGGTTTTATTGTATTTTTTAGGATAAAATGAGTTCATATATAAAAGTTTTATGAATGGCCTGGCGTATAACAAGCACTCTCTATAAGGGACAATTATTTTTATTGTTATGCCATTTTGTTATGAGGAGTTTTAGATGGATTGGAGGATTAAGATCATGAAAACAGAGTAGATGGGCCTCCCCGGTGGCACAGTGGTTGAGCGCTGGGTTGCGAGGCTGCCCACAGTCTCTGCAGCGCCGGTTCGATCCCTGGCTGCTCCCCGGCCACCCGAGGAGGGTCCCACATGGCGCGCAGGCCTCTCCTGCCGCCCGCTGCTCCCCTCAGCAGTGTACTTCGGTCCTTCTGCCTGCTCTGCTCCCCGCTCTGGCTCTGGTGAATTCTCTCGCCCTCCCGTGCTTCTGACTGTACCCAGTGCTTGTATAAATAAATAAATTAATAAATCTTTTAAAAAAAAAAAAAAAAAAAAAAACAGAGTAGCATGAACTTTACATGAGTTTACCCTGCAGCCCCCCTAATTAGTGAAGTTTTACTGATTGTAAAATGTTTTAAAATATTAAAGTTAATTTTATATATTAATCCATTTAATCACCCAGTAGTTAATTTTCTAATATTAGAAAATAATCCATAAATATTTATTGAGCACCCACTATCAGTCGAGCACTGTTCTAGATAGAACAGTGACTAGCAAATAAACAAGAATTCTAAGAATTCCTCCCCTCATAAAGGTTATATTGAGGGAAAATAAATCATGTTTTCCTCTTTAGTTTTACCTAACGTCTACCTGATTAAAAATACAATAACAGTTTTCATTCTTACCATTTTCCTCAGTGCTATATCAACCAGATCTTTTATTCCTTCATCACCCTCTTCTTCAGATGACTGCTGGTGCAGACTGTTCTTCAACATGTCAAATATTTTCTCCCGAGAAATGTAGCCATCACCATTCAAATAATAAACTTCAAAACAAACTTTTCAAAGCATAAGAAGTTTAAGGATTTTGATAAGGATGGTTAAAGTGTCATAAATTTCCTTAGCTACTTCAATATATAATGAAAAAAGGATAAACATATACAATTCACAACTACTGGACTATATGGTAGAAAGATATTGAAATCTATTAAAATAATTTATAGAATAGGGCCTCCCTTGTGGCACAAGGGGTTAAGCACTGCACTATGAAACAATCTGCAGCCTCTAAGCATGAGTTTGATCCCCGGCCAGGGAGCTACCCATATGGTGAAGCAGACCTCTCCTTTCTTGCCTGCTGCTCCCCTCAGCAGTGTATTTTGGTCAGTCTGCCTGTTCTGTTCCCTACTCTGTCTCTGGTGAATCCTCTCAACCCCTGCATCTCTGGCCTGTACCCCAGCTCTTGTATGCATAAATAAATCTTTTAAAAATAATTTATAGAATAATAATAAAAAGAATTTATTACATTTCTTTCTACAAGGGTTAGACACTCCTTGGAATGTGAAAAGAATGATTTATATATTTTTTTAAAGATTTATTTTATTTTTATGCATACAAGAGCTGGGGTACAGGCCAGAGGTGCGGGGGAAGGGGTTAGAGGACCCACCAGAGACAGAGTGGGGAACAGAACAGACAGATTGACTGAAATACACTGCTGAGGGGAGCAGCGGGAGAGTCAGGAGAGGTCTGCTGTGCTATGTGGGTTGCTCCTTGGCTGGGGATCAAACTCATGCTACAGTGGCTGCAGATAGCTTCATAGGTCGCATTTTAATCCCTTGCACCACCAGGGAGGTCCAGATTTATAATATCTGGATTTTGAAATTGAAGGTTTAAAAATGTTAAGAAACTGCAATAAAGAAGAAAATTATTTCTTAAACTTGTGCTCAACAATACATATATCACATGTGTGTGTCTCAATATTATGACTCATTTCCTACATAGAGAAAAAAAGGCAAGAATGCAATATATTGAAATGGAAATTTTCAGTATATCAATACTTGGACAGTGACTTTGTCCTCTCCTTAGGGCCTGCCCATCTGCACTGTCCAGACATCAGTCTCTCTCTGGAGAGTGATTTCCACCTCACCGTATAAACACTACCATAGCTCATTCATTCATCCTGCAAACGACCTTACCTAGGTCCAGTACAATGGTGAGGCAGTTTTTGTGGAGTTTGTAATCTAGTAAGTGCTTTAGTAAAAGAAATAGAACCAGATATAAAACCCCAGGATGGGTCTCCCTGGTGGCACAAGGGGTTAAGCACAGCACTGTGAAGGTATCTGCAGCCTCTGCTGCAGGAGTTTGATCCCAGGCTGGCCAGGGAGCTACCCATATGGTGCAGCAGACCTCTCACGTCTCGCCCGCTGCTCCCCGCAGCAGTGTATTTCAGTCAATTGGCCTGTTCTGCTCCCCACTCTGTCTCTGGTGAATCCTCTTACTCCCCACACCTCTGGCCTGTACCCCAGTTCTTGTAAAAATAAATAAATAAATCTTAAAAAATAAATAAAACCCCAGGGTATGTAGACTAGCTAAGCCTTTGTTGAGTTTCTCTAATCTGTAGCACATGTGTTTGCCACACAATCCTACTAGATGCAGTATTGTCCCCAAATTAACATATTTTAATGTATATGAAATATTTATAGAGATTAGAGAAAGAAAAGTATTTACAGTGTGACGCTCTTTAAACATGAATGGTACATTCAGTGTCACAAACGTTTCTACCATATATTAGTATATATGTAAATTATAAGAATTTACATCCATGGGCCTCCCTGGTGGTGCAGGCAGTTGAGCGCAGCCCTGAGAAGCTGTCCACAGCCTCTGCAGTGCAGGTTCGATCCTGGCAGGCCACGGAGATACCCACATGGCACAGCAGACCTCTCCTGTCTTGCCCACTGCTCCCCTCAGCAGTGTATTTCAGTCAGTCAGTCTGTTCTGTTCCCCACTCTGTCTGTTGAATCCTCTCACCCTCCTGCCCATTTGGCCTGTACCCTGGTTCTTGTATATATAAAATAAAATCTTAAAAAAAAAAAAAGAATTTACATCCTTGAAGCTTAGCTTTTCACTCCTCACTGAGACTTTTGTTTAAGAACACTGTAACAAATTTAAGTGGCAACAATATTTGTATGTTATCCTATGAAAGATTAGACTGGAGAAATTTTTTTTTAAGCCACAAAACAAAAAGTCTTAAATATCAGAAAAAGCTGATGATTTTTTAAAATGTTGCCATCATAAATGTTGAACATTTATTTATTTAAATAAATGTTGAACATTTATTTATTCAGAACTGGGTCTTTTTTAAAGCACTTTGACATTTTAGACATGTTGTTCCCTTGAAAAAGTCTATTTAAAATTGTTCCTATTTTCTTTTTTCTTCTTTTTTTTATAATAAATTTTATTTTTATATTCCCCATACAATTGCAACCCCCCCATTCTGACCCCAATCCCTCCCCTCCCGCCCCCCACCCCCAAAAAGTGTCTCTGGTTCATAGTTTTTTGTTGATTTTGATTTTCACTTTCTTATAGTTATTCATTTTCCTGGTCCCTTATTTAAGTTTTCTAGATTCCTGCTATGAGTGAGACCATCCGGTATTTTTCTTTTTCTTTCTGGCTTATTTCACTGAGCATGATCCCTTCCAACTCTATCCATGTTGCTGCAAATTGCATGTGTTTATCTTTTTTGAATGCTGAGTAATATTCCATGGTATATATGTACCACATCTTCTTGATCCAGTCATCTATTTTTGGGCATTTGGGTTGTTTCCAAAGCTTAGCTATTGTAAACAGTGCTGCTATAAATATAGGGGTGCAGGTGTTCTTTGGAATTGATGTTTCTGTGTCCTTTGGGTAAATACCTAGGAGTGAAATTGCTGGATCATATGGAAGCTCTATGTTTAGTAGGTCCAGAAATCTCCACACAGCTCTCCATAGTGGTTGGACCAGTTTGCACTCCCACCAACAGTGCAGAAGAGTTCCTTTTTCTCCACACCCTCGCCAACATTTGTTGCTGCTAGTTTTTTTAATATGTGCCATTCTCACTGGTGTAAGATGGTATCTCATGGTAGTTTTGATTTGCATTTCCCTGATTACAAGTGATGTTGAACATTTTTTCATATGCCTGTTGGCCATTTGCATTTCCTCTTCAGAGAAGTTTCTTTTTAGCTCTTCTGCCCATTTTTTGACTGGGTTATTTTCTTTGTTGTTGTTGAGTCTCATCAGCTCTTTGCAGATTTTTGTGATCAGTCCTTTATCATTAGTGTTGAGTGCAAAAATGTTCTCCCAGTCGGTGGGGTTTCTCTTTGTTTTTGTTATTGTCTCTTTTGCTGTGCAGAAGCTCTTTAATTTGATGTAGTCCCAGCTGTTTATCTTTGCCTTCACTATCACTGCTTTGGGTGATGTGTCTGTAAAGATGTCTTTGATGTGCAAATCATGTAGTGTTTCGCCTATATTTCCTTCTATATATTTTATGGTTTCAGGTCTTATGTCTAGTTCTTTAATCCATTTTGAGTTGATTTTTGTGTATGGTGTGAGGTAGTGGTCAAGCTTCTTTCCTTTGCATGTAGCAACCCAGTTTTCCCAGCACCATTTATTGAACAAACTTTCTTTGCTCCAATGCATAGTCTTTTCTTTCCACTTTCCTCTCCACAAATCTTGGCAGCAGTTTTTTTTTTTTAATAGAAAAAATGTCATATGCAATTTTTATTATTACTTCTATGTCCAACGCAGATTTTTTAAATATTATTTTTATTTTTTATATCATTGTTCATTTTTAAGCAATATTTTCTTCCCCCCACACCCTCAGGTGCAGTCCCCATAGAGTTTCCTTCACCAATGCACCTGTGCATCATCACTTCAGTCCCCTGTGGTCCTCCTTCCATCCCTCTCTCTGATCCCTCTCCCTCCTCCTCCCCTGCAGGATGTCTCTGATTTATAATTGTCCATTTTTACTTTGTTGTGGTTTGTACTGTTATTATTTTTTTACACTGATGTCATATTGGGTTCCCCTATATTTCTGCTATAAGTGAAACCATCCAATATTTTTCTTTTTCCTTCTGACTTATTTCACTGAGCATAATACCTTCTAGTTTCCTCCACGTTGCTGCGAATGGCATATGTTTATCTTTTTTGATAGCTGAATAATATTCCATTGTGTATATATACCACATCTTCTTGATCCAGTCATCTATTTTTGGGCATTTGGGTTGTTTCCAGGTTTTACTTATTGTAAATAGTGCTGCAAAAATTATAGGTGCAAGGTGTTCTTTTGAATCAATGTTTTTGTGTCCTTTGGGTATATCCCTAGGAGTGGAATTGCCAGTCATATGGTAGCTCCACTTTCGGCAGGTTGAGGAATCTCCACACAGCTTTCCATAGTGGTTTCCAGTTTGCACTCCCACCAGCAATGCAGGAGAGTTCCTTTTTCACCACATCCTCGCCAACATTTGTTGTTGCTTGTTCTTTTGATACATGCCATTCTTACTGGTGTAAGGTGGTATCTCAATGTGGTTTTAATTTGCATCTCCCTGATTATCAGGGATGTTGAACATTTTTTCATATGCCTATTGGCCATTTGCATTTCCTCTTTGGAGAAATGTCTTTTAAGTTCTTCTGCCCATTTCTTTTTTTTAAAGATTTTTTTTTTATTTATACAAGAAAAGGGGTACAGGCCAGATGTGCAGGAGGGTGAGAGGACTCACCAGAGACAAAGCAGGGAACAGAACAGGCATACTGACAAAATACACTGCTGAGGGAAGCAGCGGGGGGAGACAGGAGAGGTCTGCTGCGCCAAGTGGGATTCTCACCAGGCGGCCAGGATTGAACTGGCGCTGCAGAGGCTGCGGACAGCTCCACAGTGCTGCGCTCAACTGCCTTTGTGAGCATGGCTAGAAGTTTGCCTGTTTTGTTTATTTTTTCAAAGAACCAACTTTTGGTTTCATTGATCTTTTGGATTGTTTTTTAAATTTCTATTTCATTTATTTCTATTTTGATTTTTATTATTTCCTTTCTTCTACTGGCTTTATGGGTTTTTTTTGTTGTTCTTTTTCTAGATTTTTGAGATGTGAGATTAGGTTGTTTGAGTTCTTTCTTGTTTGTTGATGCGAGCCTGTTTTGCTATATATTTTCCTCTTATTACTGCTTTTGCTGAATCCCAGAATGTATTTTCTGAATTTCCAGAATGTATATTCTGGAAAGTGGTGTCCTCCTTGTTGTTCAACTCAAAGTATTTTTTTTTCTTTTTTTTATAGAGGCATTTTTTTTTTATTTATTTGTTTGTTTGTTTGTTTCTTTGTTTATACATGCACTGGGTACAGTCAGAAGCGTGGGAGGGTGAGAGAATTCACCAGAGCCAGAGCAGGGAGCAGAGCAGGCAGAAGGACCAAAGTACACTGCTGAGGGGAGCAGCGGGCGGCAGGAGAGGTCTGCGCGCCATGTGGGACCCTCCTCCGGTGGCCGGGGAGCAGCCGGGGATCGAACCAGCGCCGCAGAGGTCGCCGGTAGCTTCGCAACCCAGCGCTCAACCGCTGCGCCACCGGGGAGGCCCTCAAAGTATTTTTTAATTTCTCCTTTGATCTCCCTCATTAGTCCAATTATCTTCCAGTAGTATGGATTTCAATCTCCATGATGTGGGAGAGTTCCTTGTTTCTTTTCATGATTTATTTCTAGCTTGATGCCTTTATGATCGCCATGTGGGTAGCTCCCTGGATGGCTGGGGATCGAACTCGTGCTGTAGTGGCTGGAGATAGCTTGATAGTGCCCTTTTTAACCCCTGTGCAACCAGGGAGGCCCCACAGCTATTTCTAAGCCAAATTGTGAATTGGAGCTTTGTGATTTTGAGATTCCCAAACTTTCTCTTTTGTAGACATTTCCTACATATTTTTTTCCCTTTGGACTTTTGTTGTCCTCAATCTTCTTCACTTTCTGACTCATCTACACTAGAATGTTGATAGCTGCTACTGTGTGAATCCCTCAGATTCTCTTTAATAAAGAGACAAGGAACAGCCCTAATGCGACCTGTATGCTGCCTATAACAAGACTCATTTCCTGCTGAGTCTAGAGACAGCCTCAGAAAACTCAGCCTGGTTAGCTTATCAGTCACAGAAACCCTGACCCTAAGTTACTGTTTTTAACCTGTGCCTTAAGCCCAAGACCCATGCTGGTGACATTTGGGTATTATGGAGCTAGTGAAGGAAGTGTTTGGGGACCCCGGTACCAGGGATTCTTCTATGAAATAAGACTTCTATCTCATCTTTTTAAAAAAGCTATCTCGAACTATTTTTGCAAGATTGCTATTAAAAACACACTTTTATATCTTTAAAAATATTTTAGGATGTACTAAACACAAAATTGATACTATTTATTACTCAGCCAATAATCATATCTTACACTTCAGCTTTTCTTCAAAAGTCCCTCGAAGAAACACTGATAATCCTTTAATCCACTCTTTTACATTTATGCAGTTATCTTTGTCTTTGTCAAATGCAAAGAATACTGGAAGGGAAAAAAACATAATACACTTGTATTATAATTTAACTTATTTTATAATTTAAGAGTATATACATATAAATAGATTTTTTAAATTTCCTCCCAAATTGAGTGGAGAAAAAAGATTTTGAAAGAGTCAAAATTACTAGAATATCTTTTCCCCAGATTATTTAGAGTCACCTTCCCTCAATGATGAGTTTCATTGTGATGTTTGTATAGTCACTATGACATAAGAAGACCAAGAGTGGCGCTAATCAGTGTGATGATTTTTATTCTAAAAAGAATAATATAATTATGTTCTTCTATAAGAAAGTGAAAATCAAAATCAACAAAAAACTATGAACCAGAGACACTTTTAGGGGGGCGGGGGCGGGAGGGGAGGGATTGGGGTCAGAATGGGGGGGCTGCAATTGTATGGGGAATATAACAATAAAATTTATTATTTAAAAAAAAAGAATAATATAATTATGTTCTAAAGAGTTTGCACATGCCTAAATATGAATTACTAAAACAATTTTAAATTATCAATGACATCTTAATATTATTCAATAGAAAATAAAATTTTGACTATTTTGGTGGTAATAAATGTTAATTACTTTGATTATGGTTATGGTTTCAAGGGTTATACATATGTCAAAACTGATCAAATTGAACACTAAAAATCTGTTAGTAAAACTGACAGGATTCCATTACATAATTTCCAATTTAAAAATAGGATCTTTTGATTTTTTTCCAACATCAGAAATGGGCATGTTTGTGCTGACGTATAGTCTTCATTTTTACGAGGGAAAGGGATAATTTAATATTTTACATGTCTCTATAATGTGATCCAAAGTCATCATGATTAAAAGCCACATGTTTATCTTTAAAAAAATCCATCTTTAAAAAAATCCATCCTCACAATCAAATCAACTGCTGTTTTATATTGGCAGCACTATCAGAATTAAGCCTTTGTAGTTTGGCACTGAAAAATAGTCTTTGATAAAAATGGAATATATATATATATATATATATATATATATAAACACACACATATATATGTGACATATACATATATTTGCCATCTCAGCTTGGTCCATTTGGTCTCTTATGACTTCTTACCCCTATTCATTAGCATATCATCAGTCATTCCAAATACGTTGTACAGGATCCCTCGAAATGCATTACAATCTAGTCCAACGTTATCAAGTCTTTTATCCGTTGCTTTTACCAAGCTGTGAAAAAGTCTTATAAGACACTCTATTTCATTTTTCTTGACTGTAAAATTAGAATAAAAATAAACATTTAATCTTTTAGTCCTTCAATCCAATTCAACGTAGTTTGCACATATAATACATATTGTTCGATGATGCTAGATGTTCTGGTGGTAACAGAACTGTGACATGGGCATTTTACTTAAGAGTTTGTACAATAAGCTAGGCCTTACTCAGAAGTTTCATAAGATTATATATTAATATAAAATATCACTTTACATATTTGAAGAAATAGAAAATCAGAATGGGAAAGAGGAGTCAGATCATTTCAAAGTAGACTGAACTGGGCCTTGAAGAATGCACAGTATGGATAAAGGAAGGAATGTATTGAGGGTGATAAAGAAGTGAATTTCAGGGAGAGGGAACAGGATTAAAAGGTAGAATTGGGGGGCCTCCCTGGTGGCCTAGGAGTTAAGTTTCAGTGCTATCACTGCTACAGCTTGGTTCAATCCCCGGCCAGGTAGCTAACACACATATGGCACAGCAAGCCTCTCCCATCTCGCCCATTGCTCTCCTTATCAGTGTATTTCAGCAAATATACCTGTTATGCTCCCCACTGTCTCTTGTGAATCCTCTCACCCCACCCCACCCCCCAAACCTCTGGTCTACACCCCAGTTCTACATGCTCACAGAAAGAGGTAGAATTGGGATTGATGTTGAACAAGACTTACTGGGAACACAGAAGGAATTGAGAAGTGAAAAACAAGATTGAAAAGGATGGAATGATGGCAGAGGGCCTTGAATGCCTGGTAAGAGTTATATAAATATTTTATTGGAGTCATGTTTATTATGCTGTAAGTTTTGGACCACCCATATAATAATCAACCTCCTCCTCTGCTGGTTAAGTAGGCAGATTCACAAGTCTTATTCCAGATCTACTAAGTCAGAATTCTAGGAATTAGCTTTTTTAAAAAAAAGGTTTATGCATAAAAGAGCTGGGGTACAGGCCAGAGACGTGGGGTGAGAGGATTCACCAGAGACAGAGTGGGGAACAGAACAGGTAGATTGACTGAAGTATACTGCTGAGGGGAGCAGTGAGGGAGCCAGGAGAGGTCTCGGGATGCTCCCGGCCAGGGGATCAAACTCATGCTGCAGAGGCTGCGGACAGCTTCATAGGTTGCATCTTAACCCCTTGCACCACAATGGAGGCCCCTAGAAATTAGCTTTTAAGCAAAAGTTTGGTTGACTCTTCTATGCCCTAAGTGTTGAGAATCTTTTGGGTGAAGCTATTGAAGATTTTGGACTAGAAGAGGACGATGACAGAGTGGTGTGGGAAAATTCACCTGTAAAGTTGTATTGAAGGGGAGAATATGGAAGCAGAGCAGCATGGCTTGGAGTGACAGGGTTTAAGTTAAGGACCTGGACTTAAAGTCATAAAGCTGGGGAGGGGGCCTCACAGCTATTAAAAACAAAACAAAACAAACCAAAACACTTGGTGACTGGCTTTCAAGCCAAAACTATATTCACAGACCTGACCCTCACTACACTTAGTAAAACAGTTAAAAGAACTGCACAGATATTCTAATGTCAGAACTTAAAACCAAAGCATAAGATTTGGTGGGTTAGGGTTACGTAAGTATTTGGGTTCCACTTGTTCCTAACCCTGTAAGAGCTGGGAGTTTTAGACAAGATCATATAGCCTCTTCACACCTCAGAGTCTTCAACTATAAAGATTTAGTATTGTCTTAGATGGCCTCTGAGATTTTTTCAGTCTCTAACTGTATGAATCAAAGAGTTTTTGAGAGAATTTAAAGTTAGGAGGGAAAATTGGTTACTACATTTTATTTTCTTTCTTTTTCTCCCTCTTCTTCCTTTTCCCCTTTTTTTTTGTGGGGAAGGTGGGGAGAAATTACTATTTTAGATGCTGTCATTGAGATGATCAGGATACCCAAGTGAATTGCACAAATCTGCAATTCACTACATTAGGTTGTCTACTATATTCAGAATGACTTGATTTTTAGGGTAATGGCTGATAAAAATCCAAAGAATATGCTATTACAAAGGTGCCTGAGGATGCTATTTTATAAACTGGATGACAGTCGCAGTCTTCTTGCTTAACATAACTTCACACTCTAAGCCCTGATACATACCATTAAGATCATCCTTATCTGTCAATAAACATTTACTAAAGGCTTCCCATGAACCAGACAATGAATACACCATAGTCTTACCTTAAAGGTTATTACATTTTTGTCGAGACAAAGAAATGCAGTAAAGTAATGGTGTTTGAAAGGAAGGGATAACCAACTAGGGGAGACAGTTGAGAGACAGTAAGAACGGTCTCAGGGAAGTGGTGTCACTTGATCTCAGACCTGTCAATGGAGTAGGCATTTGCCAGAAGAGGCAGCTTGAGACATGGAGATAATGGCCTGAGAGTTGCAGATAATTCTGTGTGGCTAAATGGAAGTTGCTTTGATCTTACAATGGAGAGTACTGAAAAATTTTGGCTGGCAAGTTACCAGGATCAAATTTGCATTTAAGGAAGATCACTTTAGCAGATTTTTGAAATTACCTTAAAAATGGCTGAGTCCAGCTATGACAGGTTGTATTTCCTCCAAGTTGGTCATAACAATCAATTCCATTCCACCTGCTCTTTTTTTTTTTTTTTTTTTGTGGGACCCTCGCAGGTAGTGGGGGAACGAACTGGCGCTGCAGAGGCTGCAGAGGCTGCAGAGGCTGCAGAGGCTGCCGGCAGCCTTGCAGCCCAGCGCTCAACCACTGCACCACCAGGGAAGGCCCTCCACCTGCTCTTTTTATGTGACTTTGATACTACTTTTTCAGAGAGATGGGGTGTCTCCCTTACTTGAAACTAGGGGGATTTTTGTGACCATTTCAACCAGTAGAGTGGAAATAAGGTTATGTGACTTTACAGGACTAGCTTATACAAGGAGATGCAACTACTCTGAGAACAAAAACATCTACTTTTTTTTTTTAAAGATTTTTTTTTTTATTTATGCATGCAAGAACTGGGGTGTCAGCCAGAGCGGTGGGGGTGAGAGGACTCACCAGAGAGTGGGGAGCAGAACAGGAGAATCCACTAAAATACACTGCTGAGGGGAGCAGCTGGCGAGGCAGGAGAGATCTGCTGTGCCATGTGGGTTGCTCTCTGGCTGGCTGGGGATCAAACTGGAACTAGTGCTGCAATGGCTGGCAATAGCTTGATAGCACTGTCTTTAACCCCTGCACCACCAGGGAGGCCTTTTTTTTTTTTTTTTTTAAGTGAAGGAAAACTCAGGTGTGGTCACATAGTTTGAAGTACATAGTATATTAATGTTTGCAAAATGTAGTCCTACTCAACTCTAATGGAGAACTATCATCACCTGAGAAATGTAAGAAATGGTGTGAGACTTAACCCTTGCGCCTCTGGTGGCGCAAGGGTTAAGTCTCAGCTCTCTTATCATTGGCCTGAGGCCTAAATTGGATCCCTGTAGGCCAGGGATCTAATCCACAGGAGGCAGCAGACCTCTCCAGTCTCAAGTGCTGCTGCCCTCAGCCGTGTATTTCAATAGATCTGCCTGTTCTGCTCCCCACTCTCTTCGGGAATCCTCTCACCCGCTGCACCTCTGGCCTACACCCGAGTTCTTCTATGCAGAAATCAATCTTAAAAAAATATATAGTAAATATATAGTGGTATGAAATGCAAAAATGAGGAAAGAGCGGTTTTAAGAATCAGGAGCTGTTCAAAGTCAAATGTTGACATGTCGTTCACCAAAACAATCAAGAATTTTAGAAACAATCCTCGGCAGGTAGTAACAATTTTATCCATGTCGCTTACATTTCATTATATCTAAAGTCCTTACACACATGGTCAAGGAACCAATCATCAAAAATGGTATTTGAGAGTGGGCCTCCCCGGTGGCGCAGCGGTTGAGCGCTGGGTTGCGAAGCTGCCCGCGGCCTCTGCGGCGCCAGCTCGATCCCCGGCCGCTCCCCGGCCTCCGGGAGAGGGTCCCACATGGTGCGCAGACCTCTCCTGCCGCCCGCTGCTCCCCTCAGCAGTGTACTTCGGTCCTTCTGCCTGCTCTGCTCCCTGCTCTGGCTCTGGTGAATTCTCTCACCCTCCCGCACTTCTGACTGTACCCAGTGCATGTATAAACAAAACAAACAAATAAAAAACATTCCTCTATTAAAAAAAAAAAGATAAAAAAATGGTATTTGAGAAATCATGGGTAATGAGAAAGGTTTTGCTACTAGAAGGCCCATTATTGTTTTAAATTCTTTAGTTTGGAATAATTTCAGATTTACCTAAGAGATGCAATAATAGTACAAAGGTTTTAACCAACTCTTCAGTTGCTTCCTAACATTATCTATGGTACATATGTCAGAACGAATACCAGCATCAGCACATTATTAACTAGACTAGTTGGATGTCACCTGTTTTTTCACTTGTTTTATTTCAGAATCCAGTCCAGGATCCACTGTTATCATGTCTCCTCCAGCCCGTGATAATTTGCAGTCTTTTCTTGCTTTCCATGACCTTTAGTTTTCATTTTGCACAATCTTCAATTTAGGTTTGTCTAATATTTTTCTCATTAAACTATGATTATGCTTGGGGGGAGAATATCACAGGGTTACAGAGTTCTTGACATTATCACTGGTAATCTCAATCATTGTAAGATAGAACCTACAGGTTTTCCCACTGTTGTTACTATTTTCCCTTTTGATAATCTAGTCTTTAGAAGCCAGTCAAAGAAAAGGGTTAGGGCCCACCTGGCGGCCTAGGGGTTGTCTCAGCGCTGTCACTGTGATGGCCCACCTTCCATCCCGGCCAGAGCACTAATCCACTTGGTGCAGCATCTCTCTCCTGTTTCGCCCACTGACCCCCTCAGCAGTGTATTTCAGTAGATCTGCCTGTTCTGCTCCCCACTCTGTTTCTGGTGAATCCTCACTCCCCATACCACTAACCTACACCCCAGTTCTTGTACGCATAAATAAATCTTTTTTTAAAAAGGGTTAATTAAGCTCCACTTTTTTGAGAAAAGGCGTATTATTTAGAATTCTGTAAACTTCTCTTCCATTTATTCAATAGTATCAGTATGGAGTCACATTATTGGTATAAAATAAATGAGTATCACTAATTTTTTTTGCTTAAATTGTTCCAGCTTTGATCATTGGGAATTTTGAAATTGGCTCCTGTATCTTACACAGACAACTTCTTTTGCTTTTTCAACACTTCATTTCTGGCACTACTCACCAAGACATCTTGTCCTATTCCTTTGTGAGAACAGAAAAATATTATATATCTGTGTCGGTCCTGGGTTCTTGGAACAGAAATCCAAAAACCCTTGTAATTTCCTAAGTGGTATACACACTAGGGCCATTTTTTATTTCTATTATTGTTCTCTGCCACTGTTTCCTGCTACTGAGCTCCTAATTCCCTTGGAATTTCCTGGTTTTAGAAATTTCTTTGCTCTAAGGTGACTCTTGGTGAGTTCCTGGATGAGGGCTGTCACTAGAATGACCATGCCAGGATTAGAAGCTTGCAACTTTTAGCTCCACTCTCCATTCTCCCAAGGACATGAAATTAACAATCAGTCATGCCTATGTAATGAAGTCTCCATGAAATCTCTCAAAGTAGAGTTCAGGCAGCTTCTGGGTTGGTGAACTCATGGAGGTGAAGTTCTATGCCTTATGTATTCCTTCCATCTGGCTGTTTCTGATTACATCCTTAAAAAGTCTGTAACTTAAGTAAAATGTTTTGAGTTGCCTGAGCTGCTCTAACCAATTAACTTAACCTAGGAGGGGATTGTGCGAACCTCATTTATAGTCAGTCCTTCAGCAACACAGACTTACTACCTGGACATGTGACTGGCATCTGAAATGTGTGTGTGGGAGTCACCTAACACTGAACCCTTAATCTCAAAGATCTCATGCTATCAGAGATCTGAATTGAGTGAAATTGTAGGACACCCAACTGTTACCGGAGAATTGCTTATTGTGGGGAAAAATCTCCACAGATGTTGGCCAGAAGTGGGTAAGGCAATAATTGATAGGCTTTCAACAGCTGAATCAGTAATAAATCACTTTTAAATTGGGATATTTATCAAATTACAATGGAAAGTTGGAGATGTGAAGGATTATGATGGAGAATCAGGATTGGCTATAACCTCTAGATGCCAAAACAATCACTTGAATCAAGTAGTATGAAATTACTAGGAATAGTTTTAAAATTGTTCTTAGCTTTAAGTGTACTTTAACCTGTGTAAAAATTTAAGTGGCTAAATGACAAAAGAAAGACTGGGTCAATTCCCAACTCAATATAAACATATAAGCATGGATTTTAACCTGCCATAACTTGTTTCATTTGGGGAAAAAAAAAAAGTTTAGAGCATGAATTCTCAAACTAGTGTCTATGAACACAGAGTAAAACAATCTGGATGTTTAGCTTCACTTACAGAAATTTTCCAGTATGCTTAGGATGATACAAGGAATCCACATTTTTTTTTTTTTAACACAAATGCTTCATAATATGACAGTGGAGATGAAGACTCCTACCATACTAGGAATCGGAGGTACCTGGTCAGGATTGACTACAGAATTCACAGATCCAGGGCAAAAATGAAACTTCAGACTCCTTGTTAAAAAAATTAAGACCGTGATAGAATATTAAACTAAGTGTGGGGCCTTTGGAGAATGCTTAAGTTGCACAATCATGATGCCACTCACTGCACTGAAGTAATTCTCTACCTGCTTCCACTACTAGATTAAAAGGGCTACTATTTGAAAAAGTGTGACTCGAGAAAGACTAATAGACTTTGTGAGATGAAAATGTTTTACATTCATGTTGTTCCATTTGGTAGCCACAATCTACAGTCACTAAATCCTGAAAAGTGGCTGGTGTGACTAAAAATGAATCTTAGGTTCTATTTTAATTTATATTAAACAACCCCATGTAGCTAGTAGCTACTACAATACTGTAGCTTTAGAACAGTAGGAAGATCAAAAGGTAGAAGTTATACTAGTTCTAGACTATGAAACCCATCCATCTGAAAAAAAAAAAGAGGGGAGTTGCTTAGTAGCTTTGAAATCTCGGAGGTAATCTGCTGAGGATGTGGGAGCAGCATTGGCAGTGATTAAAGGTTTGGACTAGAGACGCCATATGGCAACACAAGGGCCTAGTGAAGTATGAAGGCTTCCTTCTAAGCTCTAAAGTAAAAGCCCAGGAAAAAACACACTTCAACTTTCTGTCACATGGGACTAGAATTTTGTACCCAAAGTGAAATACTAAGTCTCTCCTTGAGAAGATCAGGGCAGCATCCGTTAGTCCTCCCATTCACCCATAAAGAAACAAAAGCTAGGGTCTCCCTGGTGGCGCAGCGGTTGAGCACTGGGCTGCAAAGCTGCCCAGCTGCCTGCAGCCTCTGCAGCGCCGGTTCGATCCCCGGCACCCGCCGACGAGGGTCCCACATGGCGTGCAGACCGTGCAGACCTCTCCTGCCGCCCGTTGCTCCCCTCAGCAGTGTACCTCTTCAGTCTGCCTGCTCTGCTCTCCGCTCTGACTCTGATGAATTCTCTCACCCTCCCGCGCTTCTAACTGTACCCAGTGCTTATATAAATAATCTTAAAAAAAAAAAACAAAAACAAAAAAACTAGTCATTGAGAGGACGCTGGTCTCATCTGAAGTACTCCTAAACTGAGCTAAATACAACAATCTTTAATCGTGTATTTACCACAGGGCAGCACTATACACAATGACCACGAGGATCTATAATACTAATCAGGAGGATTAATTTAAAAATATAACTTTACACAAACTGCTTAATCTAAGATTTGGTTCCCTCATCTGAAAACAGAAAATACCACCTACTTCACTGGGTTTGTTCTGAGAATAGATGAACCTAAGCCACTTAACACAGTGTCTTGCCAATGAAGAGCTCAAACATCAGCTGTCTGTAAATTTTTGCTCATAATTTAAGCATCAGTAGGTCAAAAACTTTGGCAAATGGAATACAACTTATTCCTTCTTTTCAAACAACTATTATTATATATTGTCTTTGATATGGGTCTGAGCCAGAATTATAAAACCAAACTTACAAATTATTTCAGAGAATTAACTTCAAATAATATAGTATTAAACACATGGATGTAAGACATTGTTTAAAACAAATTCATTAGAACGAGGAGGGAATTTGGTTTTAAAAATATGCGTAATTTACTTTCAAATGCTGTGAAACTCAGGCTTTAAGAAAGCAGCAATTGAAAGCAGATGTTATATTCAATACTAGCGAAATCTACAAGATGGATTTTAAGAGTAGTATAATAGCAGGACTGGAAAACAGCTCCTAAAAGTGCTTGAGCAGCTTGGTTCATTTAAAATCAACCGAAATAAAAGGAAACTGAATTGTTGAAATGAGATTCTTAGAAAAAACTGTGCCCATACTAAGGCCACACAAGGTAAAATTATCAAGTTGCATATGACTGAAATAAAGTAACCTTCTCAAAGTCTAAAAAGGTTCTGAGTATTATTAATCAGGATTGCTTGTGGTCATGTCTGAGAAACAAAATTCACAAGATTAATTTTTAAGCAGGGCAAGCAATCTCCACCAAGTTAGTTTGAATAAATGCTTGCCATGTATAAAGGACCATGCTATTTCTCATCTAAAGTATCCTCCCTTGAAGAATCTGCTACTTTTGAGTTTTGTGCCAGAACTTAGAGCTGATCATAGTAAACCTTTATAATTTCAAATCTTACTGAACTTTAGACTCTAACATTAGCTCTTGGTTGGAAGATAACTAATTCCTTAACACTTATACCCTATAAATTAAGCTACTCTCTACTCAGTGTGAAGTTTTGGGACCCTTGGTGATTAAAATAGTTTCAGTCTAAGTAGAGAGATAACGGCCCACCTGCTATTTAAAAATGACCAAAATATTAAAACATAATTCTATTTTAGGGCTACAAAGCACTTATTCACAACCAGTTATTATGTCTACCAATATTTCTGTATGACTGAAAAAAGATGTTCAGCAGTGCTTGGTCAGTACTTACAGGTCTTAACAGTATTACTAATGGATTCTACCAGTTTCTTTAGAGCCTTCTGGTCCATGTTGAGTATGGCTTCAACACACTGCAGACTTCTTAGATAGAGCCTACCTTAAAGCCTGGGTGTCCGAGGTTAACCACTGGTTCCACAGTTCACTACTACTCAACATAGAATGTGACCATGGCAACATTCTAACAACCTAATAGAGAAGGTTCTCAAGTAACTGGAAAAATATGCAATGGTTATTGCTACTCAATACACATGCAGCAATTCATTAATATCATTCTGACTTGAAATATTACAGCAATTCCAACAGTTATCTTTTCTTTGGTGCTAAATATCACTGAAAGTGGTACTTGATTATTACTGCTATTTATATTTCCTCAGCAAACATTCTACACTTGAAGATGTCATCCTTACCCCATATGAACACATATCTAAAATCATAAGGATCTTTTTCTTTAAGTTGAAATAAAATAATTTCACAGGCTATGAATAGCTCCCTCAAAGGTTATAATCTCCTTTGAAAACCCAACCATATTCTTATGATATACAAACAGAGGTTTCAATCTGTGAGCTTTTGGAGAAATATAAAATCCTACTTTTACCTCCCTAACTATATATGACTGATAGGGAAACATGATGTGATTATGCCAAAGGTGGTCAACATGTCAACTGCTATAACTCTAGTCTACTCTCAAATCCTAGTAGAGAGAGAACAAATTATCACTTAGTCTATTTGCTTCTCAGAAAGATGTGCTAAAATGACAGGATCTACAACACTATATTCTTAATAAATTTTGAATAAAATATAAAAATGAAGTTTAATAATGCAATTGAGGAAACAAGCATTCACAAAACCTTTTTTTTAAAAAAAGATTTATTTATTTATTTATACAAGCACTGGGTACAGTCAGAAGCGCAGGAGGGTGAGAGAATTCACCAGAGCGGGGAGCAGAACAGGCAGAAGGACTGAAGTACACTGCTGAGGGGAGCAGCGGGCGGCAGGAGAGGTCTGCGTGCCATGTGGTACCCTCCTCCGGTGGCCAGGAAGCAGCCGGGGATTGAACTGGCGCTGCAGAGGCTGCGGTCAGCTTCGCAACCCAGCGCTCAACCACTGCGCCACTGGGGAGGCCCCACAAACCTTTTTTAAGGAAATGCCAGATAAATGTTTGTAAATTTTGAGTTAAAACTGGCAGTTTTTAAAAAGTATGAACCCTATCGCTTAAGTCTGAAGATTATCTGTTCTTAGTTTCTCTTAGGTTATTCTAGTGCTCTCCAAGAAATGAAATAAAACTAGAAAATAGATGTTTAGCACATTCTGACTTAAGGAATACGAACCTATACTCTGGATAAAATAAAATTCAGAACATCCTTACGGCATGTTAAACACCTAAATATATACAAAGGGCAAATATGAACCTGAAACAAGGAAAAGGTAGCGCTGGTTTGAATTGATTCTTCTATCCAGAGACTCATCAATATTTTTGCAATTACCCTGGCATCATTATCCAAATTAAATTACGTCTCATGTTTATAAAACTGAAGAAAAGTTATTCAATTAGAAGAGTTGGTAGAAGAAGTAACTTTCACATTGTAGTAATTTTTGGAATGCACAGATTTGACACCATTACCCTGTCAAATTTTTTTTCCCATACCATGTTAGAAGACTGTTAAGGTTACCACAGAGGAACTATGAAAAAAGTGTTTGCCAGTAAATACAATCTACATAGAAGAAAATTTTTTTTTTTCCAAATCACCTTATTCCCCCCTGTAATAAAATGAACAGTTGCTTCTAGTGGGACATAACCATCATATATTGGACCATTCTGCAAAAGTATACACTTCTATGTTCATAGCAAAACTGATCAACAAGGGCCTCGCTGGTGGCGCAGCGGTTGAGCGCTGGGTTGCGAAGCTGCCCGCAGCCTCTGCAGCGCGGGTTCGATCCCCAGCTGCTGGGTGAGGGTCCCACATGGTGCGCAGACCTCTTCTGCTGCCCACTGCCTGTTCTGCTCCCCGCTCTGGCTCTGGTGAATTCTGTCACCCTCCCGCGTGTCTGACTGTACCCATTCCTTGTATAAATAAATGAATAAATCTTAAAAAACAAACAAACAAACAAAAAAAAAAACAAAAAAACCCCCACTGGTAGTTATTAAAAAAAAAAAAGGATCAACAAATAACCTGATAAAATTTACCTTCAGCATTGTTATGAATAATTCAGGCAAATTTCCTTTCGGATACAAAATACCTGAAAACTTGCTATGTACCCAAGTGTATATAGATAGCTTTTATTAGGAAGCAATATGAAGCTTTAAGCATAAAATTTAAGGAAATTTACCAAGAAATGTTATTTTTACAGCTGAAAACATGTCTTGTCTTCCTACTAGTTAAGACGTAGCAGTGTTTCTTAATCTTTATAACTTTACTTGTGACCCAAAAGAAAGCTGATAAGAACACAGCTATTTTTAAGTAAAATAGCTATTTATTCAGCTTCGTGTCATGCCAAAACATTTTGTGCATATATCACTATAATTAGCACACCCTCTATAACAGGCAAAATTGTAGATCAAATTATATTCCATGTTACCTGATTATATAAAAATGTAAAGTGAAAATGATTTATCAATTTCTTTTAAATCACTAATAAACAATTCAGCAGGAGATATGAGGCACAAAATCTTAGTAAAATATGACACAGGAAAAGCAGTAACATATTTATCACTTAAATTTAACTTGTCATAATTTGTTATGAATATACAAAGACAACAAACTTTTAAAATGTTCTATTTACTAAGATTCTGGCAATAGCTTTTATGTAACAAAACAGCATACCAGGCCTGCCACTCAATTTGTTTATGGTTTCGTTTCAGCTTCAATATGAAGCCTTTAAAAAAAAGTCAAAAACCTGCTATTCACATGCTAAGTCTTGGCAAGTATGCCATAACACAGGAAGTAATTAAAAATAGCAAGAACAAGGAGTTAACAAAAGCTAAACATTACAGCCTAAACAAATTCATACAAAAAAGAAACTCAAAAAAAAGAAAAAAAAAAAACTATCACTGGTTACATAAGATTTTCCTGACTTGTTAAAACTTAACAGTATAAAACATGCATTTTAGTATCTTTAGCTATCAAGTTCAAAAAAGTACCAGTGTTTATTTGAAAATGATTCCTCTCTAAAAACAAAGTGTAGTTAAAATTAATTCAAATGATACAACACATTCTAAAGCTAAAAAACATTCAGTATTATTGAAGAGGAGAGCTAAATCCCAGAGCTTTTGGGGCTTTCTCATGCTGCCAAAAAGTGGCTGTTTCTCTGGTTCACTCAAAGCAGCATACAACAGAATCCAAGGATGTCAGTGAACTGAGCTTTAAAAGCAAGAATATACCAGCTCTGAACTCCCCATGAAGCATGGCTACTATGTCCACAAAAATAAGATGTGTGAGGATAAAAGGCACACTATTCTGCTAGCTAAAGAGATAGCAAACGTCCCAACCCACCCTACAATTCCTTTCCCTGGGTAAATAAAAGTATATAAGGAAAAAAATTAAAATACACTTATCTACAGAGTAAGGATTTTGAACATCAATGTAGTCCCTACTTCAAAACTGTTAACTGGAGTCTTCTGGTCACTTCTTATTAAATCTTAATGATGTCTCCAGACTCAATTTCTGTTGTTTTATCATTAGGTACTTCTAGTCAAAAATATTAACTTTATCCCCAAGTATCTCAACCACTAGGTACAAATGCAGCGTATTATCTCCCAGAGTTATCTCACTGGAAGAGGAAAAAAAATAGATGTTTAAGCAGCAGGCAACAATTATGGCCTTTTCACACAGCGGCATCTGAGTGGCTACTGAACAGTCCAGAAATAATTCTAAAAACAAAATTCATGCGTTTTAGTAAATATGTCATAATTTTCACAGTTAAAATTTCTTTAGACATTGCACTTTCATTATAAGAGAATCCTGATAGTAGTGTTACGGCGAGTCAGGACTTGAACTAGCAGCCTTCTTTTTCTTCTTCTTACTGTGTTTCTTATGCTTCTTTTTCTTTTTTGTTTTATCCTGTAAAGACAGTTTCACATTAGATATTTCTACATGTAAACATACAAATTAAAAATAACTTCACACTGGTACTTTTAAGCTACAACTTAGTTATTTTAAACAATCCACACACACAAAATTTCTCACAGCCTCAAAAATTAATATCCTGTGTAGATTAAGAGTACTTGTTGATTTCCAAAAAGGCAAGGAAAAACTGTCATTAGCACAGTAATGTAGCATCTAACAAAATTTCTTCTAGAAAATAAATTCAACAAGTCATGCTGTCAAATGCTATATTTCTCTTATAATTTTTTAAAAAAGATTTATTTATTTATGCATATAAGAACTGGGGTATAGGCCAGAGGTGTGGGGGGTGAGAGGACCCACCAGAGACAGAGTGGGGAACAGAACAGGCAGACTGACTGAAATACACTGCTGAGGGGTGCAGCGGGCAAGACAGGAGAGGTCTGCTTCGCCATGTGGGCAGCTCCCTGGCTGGGGATAGAACTCATGCTGCAGTGGCTGCAGATAGCTTCAATAGGTTGCATTTTTTTTTTGGAAGATTTATTTATACAAGAACCGGGGTACAGGCCAGATGTGGGGGAGGGTGAGAGGATTCGCCAGAGACAGAGTGGGGGACAGAACAGGCAGAGTGACTAAAACACACTGCTGAGGGGAGCAGAGGTCGAGACAGGAGAGGTCTGCTCGCCATGTGGGTTGCTCTGAGGCCAGCAGGGATCGAACCGGCACTGCAGAGGCTGTGGACAGCTTCACAGCACAGCGCTCAACCGCCCGCACCACCAGGGAGGCCCCTCCATAGGTTGCATCTTAACCCCCGCGCCAGCAGGGAGGCCCTCTGTTATAAAATTTGAAAGGTGAATAGCAATTCTTGCAAGAAAACCTCACATCAGAGCAAAATGTAATTTTTCGTAAAATGACAGTTTTCAGAGAACAGAAATACCAAATCTGCTATTTTAAAGTAAATATGAACACAGGTATTGTGTACTATGTAGACTAGTAGCATTATTTATAAAATGAACTAGTTAGTGCAAAATACTGGTGTATAGTTGAAAAAGTGTATTTAGGGCCTCCCTGGTGGCGCAAGGGGTTGGGACGCAGCCTATGAGGCTAGCCACTGCAGGGCGAGTTGGATCTCCGGCCAGGGAGCTACCCATGTGGTGCAGCAGACCTCTCCTGGCTCACCTGCTGTCCCCTCAGCAGTGTATTTTGGTCAGTCTGTCTGTTTTGCTCCCCACTCTCTCTGGTGACTTCTTTCACCCCCGCTCCCCAACATCTGGCCTGTACGCCAGTTCTTGTATGCATAAATGAATAAATCTTTTTAAAAAAAGTGTATTTAGTTTAGAAAAACAAGATTGCTTGGCTTTTAATAAGAAAATGCCATTGACGATTAAAAGGAACCAAATTGTGATTGGATAAAAGAGCTGATTTTGACTTAACACTGACTCTTGACTATTTCTGATGTAGAAGAGAAGGTAGAACTTTTGAAAATAGTACAGGTATCCCAACCCCTGCCAAACGATACCTGAAAAGGTGGTGTCAAATAAAAGACTTAATATTCATAAGAAAAATGAAAAAGCAAGAGAGAAATGTAATATAGCAAAAGCAAAAGTTTCCTATTAATTTCCTTATCTACCAGAACATCCTACAATCCTCCCTTCTCCCTCTTTCCTATACAGCCTTTGACCTACTTTTTGTGGCTCCAAGTCCAAAATCCTGTATCAGGGCTCTTAAAAGTTAAGTTTTGGGTATAGGTTATTTTTTCATAAAAGGACAGTTGCCCACTCTTTTTGGGGGGTGAAGGGGAGTAAACATATTAAGTAAGCACTGGGTGAGTACATCTGAAAGTGAATTAAACAGCGTCTCTCCTAGATGAAATGAAAAAACATAACTAGAGAAGTAGAGTCTGATAAATATTCAAACAAGTGGGCCAGGGCTGGTTTCAGCAGTGCTGACAGAACAGGTATCACAACCCCCGGCAAATGATCATACCCAAAAAACTGCCAAAAGGACATGGGGAAGATGGAAATAGACACTTGGGGGATACAAATTCTCCATGATATGATATTCTCAATACACCAACGGGACTAGTGTATATAGTCTCCATTCTATCTTTAAAAACTGCAAAATACTGAAAATGTCCGGAAGTGGCTGGGAAGAGAAAAATTTAAGTTACATTTATTCAAAGTTACTTCTAAGTTTTATCACTCAGTAAGTGACCTCAATGAAAGGAAATTACATTTTCTCTATATTCTATAAATATTTTACTAAAAAAACTTTTTATGTCACTTTAAATTGGCTGGCAACTTTGACTAGTCCTTAAGAGCGCTCAAAATTTCACTGTTGGTCATGTCCATTACTCTCCAATTTTGGTAAATCTGACCTAAGTTCTTAGTATCAAACTATATATGTCCTCGGACAAATATTCCTTAAACCACAGAGTTGATCTTTTAAATTTTACATAGTAAGTTTCAAATTCCTGTCTGCTTACAAAGACTCATAAATAAAGGTTGCATCCTTCCTATGTAAAGACCTGACAATTCTGTTGATTTGGAAGCAAGGACACTTTATATTATACTGTGTAAGCCTTAAGGGGAAAAAAGGGAATTACATATTCCTTACTGGAACTACTTTTTCTTGTTTAAGGTTTTTTCTTTCTTCTAAATTGACACCAAGCCAACCTTAAATTAGAGAACACTGCTTTTGAGGCCTGTGCTCTGATTAAAAAGTTCAGTTCCAACTGGGGAAAGCTACCAGAGTAGCTTTTAGTCTAACATTTTACCTGTTGCCTAGAAAAATAAATCAAACACCCAAGGGCCCATCGCCACTCGATGGAAAAAAGATACTTAGGCTTTTACAAAAAAATGGAGTTATGGAATATAAAATGCCATAAAGTATAATAGAGTTGCATTAGGGATTTTTACTTTTTTTGGTTAGGATAAGGTGTTATATTTAAATTTTTCTCATTTCCTTCCCCTATATTCTAAGTTGAAGGGAGATCATACTATAAGATCCACCACACCTTTAACAAAAAACCCACTTATGCCACTTTTCTGCCTGGAGTGGCAGGAGTGTGGAAAACCAAGTCTCAAGTGCTGTGTAAGACTTCACAAAAGGAAAGGAAGTAATGTGTAATATAGTAGCCTCTCATCCTAGGGAGGTGAATGTGTTCCATTACTGGTCTCAAAATAATTCTGTTTTCTTTCACCAACCTTTCACTAAGCCCAAGCATGCTTCCCCAAAGCTAGCATCTACACACTGTGGTCCTTCCTTAAAAGAATGAAAACCATTAAAAATTACCAAATGAGAAGGAAGTCAACAACTTCCTTCTCCAGAAAACAAAACAACACACATTTCTCACCCGAAAATGTGGATTTACACATGTGAAGATGTGTATCTATATAGCAACTATGCTGGTTTATTCATATGTGAAATTAACCTTATAATATCACTTTTATGCTTCATCACAGCAAAGGTTTTACTGCAGAATTGAAACTTAGTTCTTACCCAATAAATCTGTCACAAATGAACCAGGATTTATATATATAATATTTTATGCACCTTTTCCATTTTAAATTATAATACATACATGGAACTTACTTTTGTGGTCTTAAATATGCTTATCGGGGGCCTCCCTGGTGGTGTAGGGATTAAGTTTTCAGTGCTATCAAACTATGACCGCTTTGGCCTGAGTTCAATCCCCAGACCTCTCCTGTCTCGCCCACTGCTCACCTTAGCAGTGTATTTCCATAGATCCACCTGTTCTGCTCCCCACTCTGTCTCTGGCAAATCCTCTCACCCTCTGCACCTCTGCCCTACACCCAAGTTCTTCTATGCATAAACAAACAAACAAACAAACATTCAAATGTGCTTATCCTGACTGTGGCTGAAACTGGAAGACAGTTTATAAAAACACTGATGTCATCCATACTTGCTACTTAGTCTTGTTTGGGACAAAAGGCAAAGAATTGACAAATACCACCATCTAAGCACCTATTTCAAATTTATTATCAGCCTGCAGTTTGCAATACAATTTCTCTTCCATTAAAGAAACAGGTGAGGTATGTAGGTTGATTCCTTTGTCCTGAAGTAGTTGGCAGAATGACTACGTCACATCCTAGGGGGTTCACAGTATTGCATCTTGAAAGGTGGAATAAAAGGAGAGTGCCCTTTTTCATTCCAAATTATGAGGGTAAAGTGGAGAGAAGAGATACCCCCATTTCAAGAAGAGGGAAAGCAGACTGATAAAAGAAACAGAACTCCCCACTCCAGGAGACATCATAGGAATATGCGCCAAATACTTGATTATCAGGGGGCCTTTCTGCTCCTGGTCCAAAGGCTGGCTCCCTGTGGTGTACTGCACTGTCATATTGGCTCCTTTGCAAGTACCTCTTTTTTGTTTTGTGTGACCTATGGTTTTATTTCTTATTTAAGTAATATTTAATTATAAGTATTTATGTGCATCATCCAAAAATCAAAATGTGGTTATACTACATTAAGTTCACCACTAAAAGTCCAATTCTGGACCTCTGTGGTGGCGCAAAGAGTTAAGAAACAACGAGTTCAATCTCCGGCCAGGGGGCTACCCACATGGTGCAGCAGACCTCTCCTGACTCGCCTGCTGCTCCCCTCAGCAGTGTACTTCAGTTGATCTGCCTGTTTTGTTTCCCACTCTGTCTCTGGTGAATCCTCTCACCCCCCCGCCCCTCTGGCCTGTATCCCAGTTCTTGTGTACATAAGTAAATAAATCTTAAAAAAGTCCAATTCTATTCTTACAATATCCTTGTCCTCTATGTCTGATACATCCACACCCCTTCTGATAAACACTTATTGGTCTTATAGCCTAAAAGTTTATTTTTGTTTTATTTAGTTCACATGTTTGTTTTTTCTATATAACACACAATGATGAAATCATACAGTGATGACCTTTCTGTCTGGTTCAATTCATGAAGCATAAAACCCTCTAGGTCTATCTATGTTGTTACAAACGGCAGGATTTCATATCTCTCTCTTTTAACGCCTGAATAGTATTCCATTGTGGATATTTATCACATCTTCATCAATTCATTAGTCAATGGGCACTTAGGTCATTACCAGTTCATGGCTATTATAAATAATGCTACAATAAACTTGGGAGATGTATACATCTTTTCAAATTGATATATACTCTTTCAAAACTTTTCTTTTTGGCTTCCATGATGCTTTACTTAGGCTGCTTTTCTTCTAACACAAAAGACCTCTTCATTTCCTTTGCTAGCTCTTTTTCCTCTATATGACCTTTCAGGGCTTCCTTGCTTATTTTCCACATGCTCTCTCAGTTACCTGCACTTACTAAATCTTAGTATTTAGTTTTATGCTCTGGACTCAAGACTGCAAGTGCCTCATTTATAGTTCTAGTTGTATATCTAATAGGTATATGTAAATTTCCATAAATAATGTTTACTTTTCTCTCTCCAGCCTCCCTTTAAGTCATAATGGCACCAAAACATTTTACTTAAGTCAAAGTTATCTTTGATTCTGCTTTTTATTTTAACTCTACTCTTCACATTCAAAGTACCACAAGCAAATCCTATCCTAAGTCCAAAGCACATTTCAAATCCATCATACCAACCTATCTGCATCACTAACACTCTAATACAATCATTCCTTGCCTCTCTCCATCCATCCACTCTGCCAAAGCACATTTTAAAAATGTAATGATTAATTTCATCCTTTTGCTTAAAGCTCTCAAAATGACCTTCTGTAATATTTTAATTAAAACCCATATACTTAGCTGATAAAAGGTTTGCTTACTTCCCAGCCTCATTGTATGCTATTCTTCTTTATCTAATAGGTATTAGCCAAGTTTACCTTCTCTCGGTTCCTCAAATATTATAAACCTCATCCCTACCATAGATCCTAGTGCCTCTCTCTGCCTGGGGCATTCTCCTTGTCTTTGATTTTCACAGTGCTGACTCAAATTTTAAGTCAGATTTCAACTTAATTTTCTGTCCTCAGAGAGAGGCTTTCTTTACTTCTTCCCTGAAGTTACTCTCTCACACATCACCCTCTTATCTATTTTGTCCTCCATTCTATCCCCGAAACTTAGAATAGTGCCAGCATAGATGCTTGATTACATACATATTAGTTGAATGCTGAATTATACAAAATTGTCTTAATTGATTCAAAGATCAAAGCAGTCTGCACCCAAATTATTTTCTAGTTTAGGAGTCTCTTATATGTCACCTAATCCTTGAAACATAGAAAATATTAGTTCTGTGATCATATATTCCTAGATGAATTTTTTAACAATAAAGGTCCTTCATTTTAGAGCTAGGGAAATTCTGGGAAGGGTTAGCTACTCTCAAACCTACAAATGCTGTTGTTCTCATTTTTCTTTTACCTCTTCCTAAGAAAAGCCCACACTGGGGCTTCCCTAGTGGCACAGGGGTTAAAGTCTTAGTGCTATCAACAGCCATTGCAGCATGAGTTCAATCCCTTGCCATGGAGCTGACCCACATGGCACAGCAGACTTCTCCTGTCTCGTCCTGCTGCTCCCCTCAGCAGTGTATTTCAGTAGATCTGCCTGTTCTGCCCCCCACTTTGTCTCTGGTGAATCCTTGTACCCTCCCTCCCCCTCTGGCCTACACACCAGTTCTTGTATGCATAAATAAATCTTCAAAAAGAAAAAAAATGCCCACACTTATACTGAATTCCTACGTTTCTTTGCTGACATGTCCACATTACTCTTTGATAAACTGTTACCACTATCTTGGCCTGTTTCTGATTTGGAAATAATTTTTATTTTCTATTTTAAAGATTAATTTATTTATGTATACAAGAACTGGGGTACAGGCCAGAAGTATGGGGGCGAGAGGATTCACCAGAGACAGAGTGGGGTATGGAACAGGCGGATTGACTGAAATACACTGCTGAGGGGAGCAGCGGGTGAGCCAGGAGAGGTCTGCTGCACCATGTGGATATCTCCCTGGCTGGGGATCGAACTCGTGATGCAGTGGCTGCGGACACCTTCATAGGTTGTGTCTTAACCCCTTGTGCCACCAGGGAGGCCCTCATTTTTATTTTCATTTTTCTCTTCTGTCTTTCTCCGTTTATAAAATAGAAGAGCTGGCTTCAGAAAATATTAAAAGAATCATTCTTATTAGTGAGTCACTTATGTTGCCATAGCCCTGTTTATTAATCATTGCAGATTGTGCTTAGGAATATTTCCTGTTATTACCAGGATTGGTTGATGTGGAATTAACCATAGACAGAGATGGAGGGAATCACTATACTTTTATCTCATATTTCATCGTATAGCTTAAAATAAAAGTCAAACAGAAGTTTAACTTCTAATTGCAAAATGCTGAAATGGAAACAAGAGATGTTTGGGCATTGACTTTTCCTGAGTCAACTTAACTTTTTCTTTTCTTTCCTTTTTTTTTTTAAAAGATTTACTTATTTATTCATACAAACACTGGGTACAGTCAGAAGTACGGGAGGGTGAGAGAATTCACCAGAGCCAGAGCGGGGAGCAGAGCAGGCAGATTGAAGTACACTGCTGAGGGGAGCAGCGGGCGGCAGGAGAGGTCTGTGCTCCATGTGGGACCCTCTCCGGTGGCCGGGGACCGAACTGGTGCTGCAGAGGCTACAAGTCAACTTTTTCTAACCTTTTAAGTGAAGCTGCTGACCACCACACTTTTCCTAATAAATAATACTTTTTCCCAGTATATGGATCATGCTTAGCATGACTAATTTTATATCAAACAAAGTATCTATACTGTTGTCATGTAAAACAAAAAGTGATACTTGCTATTGCTTTTTCTCGTTCTTCACTGTTTTTCTTCTTTTTTGCTCGTACCTAAAATGTTTAAATTTGGCGGGGAGAACAGAGGATAAAATGTAATTTGCACTCACTAACTGTAATTTTGTAATTTTTTTCATTCACTAACTTACCCTGCAAATACAAAATTTGTATGTAAAAAACATGTTGGCAATCAATGCAAAATACTGCTACAAAATTTCAAGTGTCTCATTTTACCTCAAACCCATTATATCTCAAAAGATGATTCAATGAAAAACATTCTAAGGAAAGAAAATTAAGATTTTAAGTTCATAGAGGGCTCCCATTATACTCCCTTTCAGCTCCTAAAAAAGTAGTGAAGTATAGTGGAGAAAAAACATGAGCCCTGAAATAAGAGACAAAATTCTGAATATTATCTCTGTTATATATTACCTTCAGTTTCATTATCTACAAATTGAAGACAATATCTACCATCAATGAGAAGTGCCTGGAATATAGTAATGTCACTCTTACTCTACGGTACTGAATAAATGGTAGCTATACATACAATGTATTCAGTATAAACCAACTTATTAAAATTCAGTAAAGAGTATTTAGAATAAATTCAGTTGCTAAGGTTAGTATCTATTTAAGTCTAAATGTAACATATTTTACAGGTACTTGTCTTAACACAAGTACTCTAGAGAGTACTTAAAAAATTATGTGTTTGTTTTTTGTTTGCTATTCTTGTCATAACAGTCACTGGGGTGGTAGCTGTTCTGCATTCATATTCAGCCAGACCAAGATGGGGAGGCTGTCATGCTATGTCTACAACAGCTCTGACAAGAGTTTTGAATAAACCTTTATGTAATGAACCCATTTATAAAATATATAAATTCATTATAATATGAAAACAAAGTATTCTGCATAGGGTTTTAAGATATAATGAATGTCTCAGAAGTGCAGATGCCATACAAAGTGAAGATGTCTGTTTCATTCATGGCTTTATTGAGAACTGTCCATCATTTTGGAAAACACTGATGATCATATTACTGTACACTTTTTAAAGGCCATATGTAGTACATCTGCAACCACTTGAACTTTGTTTTGTCTTAAGATGTCTATGTCTTCTGGTGTTATCACACACAAGCACCTATGTATTACAACGTAATTTTATAAAATTATAAATTATTTTCTTGTATTTCTTTTTATTTCTCTTGAGGATATTAGTAAACAACTACATAAACATAGGATATATTAGCTATAAAATTTATGGGAGCATTACAAAATATTGCTACAAAATAGAAGCAAAAGATCCAATTTTACAAATGAGGACACTAAATCCTAGAGAAATACCTTAAAAGAAAACTTACAGACCTAAAATTAACTAAGAACAGGCTCTTAATTCCATCAGTGTACAAAATCTAATATAGTGATGTTTAAGCTGAAAAGAACTATATAGATTACGTAATTATATTCTCTCATTTTACAAGTGGGAAAACTGAGATCATGCTACCATTTTTGTTTCATCACCTTTCTATTCCCTAAATAGTAACTTCAAAAAAAAAAAAAAAAAGCCAAAAGAATACTAGGTTTCAACATAATATATTATATAACATCTCTGATGTAGTCAAATGGTAGGATATAAAAAATATATACATATATTTTTTTGTGGGACCCTCACTGGTGGCCGGGGATCGAACTGGCACTGCAGAGGCTGCAACTGTGCGTCACCAGCGCTTAACTGTGCGTCACCAGGGGAGGCCCGTGAAGTGATAATATCTCGGATTGGAAAGCTATGTAGAAACATGATTATCTTCTGGAAAAATGCAAAACTTACTGTGAAATGGAACAACTTCCATTTATTTTTTATAATACATAATACTAGAACAATGAATAAATCAAGTACCTATGAAGTATTTTTTACTAAATCATATTCAAAATCAAGCAACTCAACATTCTGAAGTATAGAAAGCTATTTTAATATTATACTCACCTCCTCAATATAATCGGATTCTGACAAGGACTCAGATGACAAAGGTTTATCTTCGGGATACATCTTTCTTTTTTTGCTGAGTCCTTTAACATCCTGTGGGGAGGGGAATACACATATATCAACTCAAAAGATACAATACTATGCACACAAATTTTATGTTTCTAAGTTCTATTTAACAGTTCTTTCAATTACCACAAGAATTACCCATTTTCATTTTAGAAATGTCTAAAATTGCTGGCATTTACCAGGATTCAGTCTTTAATTCCAATAAAGTAGTGCTTTTATTAAACAATGTGAAAAGGAACTGCATATCTATTTATTTTTTAGAGATTTATTTATTTATGCATACAAGAACTGGGGTACAGGCCAGAGATGTGGGGCATGAGAGGATTCACCAGAGACAGAGTGGGAAACAGGCAGACTGAAATACACTGCTGAGGGGAACAGCAGGCGAGACAAGAGGGGTCTGCCTCGCCATGTGGGTTGCTCCCTGGATGGCCGGGGATTGAACTCGAGCTGTGGATTGCTTCACAGAGAGTTCTTAACCCCTTGAGTCACCAGGGAGGCCCTGCATATCTATTTAGATGCTAATAGCCTCCTTTTAAAGAATCAAAAGAAATGAACAGATGATACAAGATCTGGGTCTCTTGTATTCTTTTTACCCAGGGTTGGAACAGACAGGTTTAGTGCTGCAAAAAAGAAAATCAATGGGTAGTTTATTTTTTTTTTTAAGATTTATTTATTCATTTATGTATACAAGAGCTGGGGCACAGGCCAGAGGTGTGGGGGGTGTGTGTGAGAGGATTCACCAGAGACAGAGTGGGAAACAGAACAAGCAGACCGACTGAAATACACTGCTGAGGGGAGCCGTGGGTGAGTCAGGAGGTCTGCTGTGCCATGTGGGTTACTCCCTGGCAGGCTGGGGATCGAACTCGTGCTGCAGTGGTTACGGATAGCTTCATAGGTTGCGTCTTTTTTTTCTTTTCTTTTTTTTTTTTTAAAGATTTATTTACGCACTGGGGTACAGGCCAGAGGTGCGGGGGGGGGGGGGGATGAGAGGATTCGCCAGAGACAGAGTGGGGAACAGAACAGGCAGACTGAATGAAATACACTGCTGAGGGGAGCAGTGGGTGAGGCAGGAGAGGTCTGCTATGCCATGTGGGTTGCTCCCTGGCTGGCCAGCGATTGAAGTCGTGCTGCAGAGGCTGTGGATTACTTCACAGTGCTGTGCTTAACCCCTTGCACCACCAGGGAGGCCTCACAGGTTGCTTCTTAACACCTTGCGCCACCAGGGAGGCCCCATGGGTAGTTTATTTGTGATGCTCTAAAAGGATCTCTATATACTAGTTCTTTTAGTGCATTAGAAGTGCTAAATTATTTAAATTTTTTTCATTTACAAGTATTTTTAACAGGAAAATGTACAACCAGGGAAGAAGGGAGTTAAAATTGAAAGAATACTTCAGAAATGTTTTAAGAAAAAATTTCAAAAACATCTGAACCAAGTGTGGCAAAATGTTAAGACTTATCAAAGTTGTCATTTTTTAATATTCTATCTTTTCTTCGGTATGTCTGAAGTAGTTCATGACAACAAAAACAACAAAATCACATAATGAAAAAAAAGTGCTCACCACCTAATCTTAGACAGAAAAAAGATTTTGAAGCTATTAAAAAAATGTAGAAAATAACTAGCAGAGATGATCTGTGTGTTACATTACAGGCGATTAATTTTGTTTCTTCAAATAGCTTCATTACTGTGGTAAATATGATAAATGTTTATTGTAAGAAAATTCACCCAAATCCCACCATAAGGGATTAAACATTGTTAAGATTCTGGAAACATCTCTCTGTGTGTATATTTACAATTTTACATAAATACTTGCTGTTTGGAACCCGCTCTTCTCACCCAATAGTATCTTTCCATGCCAACTACATCGTCATTTATGGTCGCCTTTGACATTCATTGAAAGTATATGCCACAATTTACTTAACCCATCTCCTTCTGGAGGGCAGGCATATGGGTTCTTTGCTATTAAAAACAAAGTTGAAATAGAGTGAAGGATATGTAAGTGCAGAATCTTTATCTAATTAATAATGACTAAATCAAAGGCCAAAATAGCCTTCACCCCTGTGATTTTTTCACTTTCCCACCGCCCCCCAAAACTGTTTCTTTATTTTACTCATTTATGAATCACACTTTACCAGAAGCCTCTTTATCAGGCTCTTTTCCCATTTTACCAATCTCAGATTATCAAAATACAGTTCATATTTTCTTCTATAATTGCCTAAACATACATTTTACCAATTTTTCTGTATATGTGAAGTAATCTTTTCCTTAATTATTAAAAATCACTAGGTTTCTGTCTTCTGTGTTCCTAGATTTTCTTAGTCTATTCATTATATTAAAACATTGTTCATGGTTTTTCTTTTAGTCACTTATTATCCTGTGGTCAAAAATTTCTGAGTTTTAAAGGCCTATGCCCTTCCAACCCCAATATTATATTCACCATTGCCTTTCTTAAGTTGACCTTTCATACATTTGCAACTTTAACTATCTGGACCTGGCCTTAAGGAATACTGTTTTATATTTTCCAAATGGCTAAATATTTTGTTCCCCAAACCCACTTTCATCATATATTAAATTTTACAAGTATTTACAAAATGTTACTTGAACTTTGCACTGTTCCATTGTTTTTTTTCCCCTAGTGCTGTGCTATACCGCATTATTCTAATCAGAACACTGAAAAAAAAAAAAAAATGTCTTAACATATAGCAGGACAAGTCATAACTAGGAACATTTATTAAATCCTCTGTATCTCTGAATTGATTTGTATCATTTTCAAATAAGTCCAGTTCACTTTTTAAAGAGTTTTCTATACATTCTTTGTTATGATTATAAATGGGTTATTTTCTTCCATTATATTTTCTAATTGGATACTGCATTAACTTTCATAATAATTTTTAAATTGGGTTAGCAACAAAGATTGGTATATACGACTTAAAATGACAACTTTTATGTGATTATAACAGATACCCTAAGAAGATTAAGAGATGTCATAGACCAAAAGATGTTAGTCATGTTCATGAAGAGTTGTATCCAAAATATTTAACTTATGAATTAACAAGATCAAAAACAGAAAAACTGGCAAATAATATGAACAGGCAATTCACAGATAATGAAATCTGAATGGCTAAAAAGCAGATGAAGAGGCTCAACTATCTAAACATTAAATTGGCAAAGGAAGTCTCAGTGTTGACAAGTATGTTTGTCGAACAAGGGTACTGTCAAATACAACTAGCATGAATGCAAATCAATAATAAGCACTTTGGTAAGCAAAATGTAGACAGGTTAAATGTATGATATCCTAACACCTAGATATTATAGTCCTAGGTATACTTCGGAAAATTAATAGTAACTTGTAGAAAACAGAAAAAATAAGAAACAGCTACTGCAGTTTTGTTTGCATTACTGAAAAATGAAAACAATCTAGATGTCCACAAACAGGAGAATGGAGAAATAAATTGTGGCAAATTAATAAAATGGAATTCTAAAAGCAAAAGAAACAAACTTGAGAGTATATACAGAATACATTATGCTATTTATAAATGTATACTCATGTATAAGAGTATAAATGTGGATGGAAGGATGCATACTAATTTCACAAACAACTGCCTCTAAGGAAAGTATATCCAGTTTTTTGTGTTTTAAATAAAACCTGAAGCAAGAATGACAAAAACGTAATACATTCCTTAATTCTAGTAACCGGTAATATATAGGTATTTGTTTTTTGTATTATTTGTTTACATTACATATGTTTTCATTACTTTGTACCTGATTTTGAAGTTCTTTAAAATCACAGTGCAGTTCTTTTACTATTTCATGTTTATACATTACCAGTTTTAAGTTTCACACATTCTTTTTAAAATATGAAAGTAATTACTTATTCTACAATGACACTGGAAATCAGGAATTAATGCTGAATTACATCACCCCCCTTTCACAACTATTAATTCTATGATCCCAGTTAACATGGAAAATTATATTAATAAATTTCTTATATCTTTGAATTTTTATTTATTTATTTATTTTAAAGATTTATTTTTATTTATTTATACAAGCACTGAGTACAGTCAGAAGTACAGGAGGGTGAGAGAATTCACCAGAGCCAGAGCAGGGAGCAGAGCAGGCAGATTGAAGTACACTGCTGAGGGGAGCAGCGGGCGGCAGGAGAGGTCTGCACGCCATGTGGAACCCTCCTCCAGTGGCCGGGGAGCAACTGGGGATTGAACCGGCGCTGCAGAGGCTGCGGGCAGCTTCACAACCCAGAGCTCAACTGCTGCGCCACCGGGAAGGCCCTATCTTTGAATTTTTTGGAATTAATACTCTTTGGTCAACTACGGTTTCTTAGTGTCTTAATGGATTATTTTTATTTTCAAATTGATATAAAACCACTACTGGCTATAAATCTGAGAAATGAAAACATGTACACACAGAAACTTGTACATGCATCATTATTTGTAATAACTAAAAAAGGGAGATACAGCTCAAATGACCAATGGAAGAATGGATAAACAAACTGGTATACACATGCAATGAAGTATTATTCATCCATAAAAACAAAGCATTGATTCATGCTACAGTTTGAATGAATCTCAGAAAATATTATACTAACTGAAAGCTTGACACGAAAGGTGACATATCGTAGGATTGTTTTTATAGGATATACTCAGAATAAGGAAATCCATAGACACAGAGATTACCAGGGGGTGGGGGTTGGAAGGTAGGGAAAACAGAAATTGATTACTTAATGGATTCTGGTTGTTTTTAATGGGGTGATGAAAAAGTACTGAAACCAGAGAGAAGCTCCTTATATAACACTGTACATACACTAAATAATATCCAATTGTAATTTTAAGGTGATTAACAGTATGTCAGTTTCACCTCAATTTTTAAAAATGCCATTAAAAAACCTGAAAAAATACAGCGACAGTCACCTGTAGCTTTCTTTCATTAGCAACTTTTTTTTAGGCTTTTCTTCATTTTTAGTTATTAGAAAAGGCTTTTTTTCAGTGTAAATATGAAATGTAGATGGGCTAAATTTTGCATTAATTATAAATTGAGATAAAACATCCACAGTAAAAATATTTTTCAAATTTACCCGAGGTATATTCAATTTGAAAAAGAAGTCCCTTAATTAAAAGGGCCCTTAATTAAAATGATTTGAAACAAAGGAAATGCTTACCCTCTACTATTTTGAGTTTTTAATCTGAGATTTAATTTAATGCATTAATTTATAGAAACTCAAACTTCTCCGGAGGAATATTCTTCTGACCATTGACCTTCAAAAAAAGAATCCTGTAACAGATTTCCTAAAATCTACATGAAATACCATAAAAGCAACAACAAAAAAAGTAAACTGTTAATTTCTTGAAATAAATGTAGCATTATATGACAGACTATCTTAAGGTAATATAAAACTGTAATTACCTTTTCTTTCTCGGTTGCATCCTTTGACTTCTTTTTCCTTCTTAAACTATCCTAAACAACAAAAATATGTAATTCACTTTTAAATATAAAAGTTTTAACACTATACGGACAAAAATACCAAAAAGATGATTTGTTCTCTAAGTTTAATTCAATACCAAAATTTTATTCTTAAAACATAGAAGTGTATATAAATGTGCTGATAAGGAAAGGAGGCCTTTCCATTCATCTGCAGTACGACTAAAGTGACAGATATTGTTTAATACATAATATGATAAATACCATGACAATCATAATACATAAACATTAAAGTAACATGCTGCATACTTTAAATATACACAATTTTTTATGTCACATTTATTCAATTGGGAAAAAAACCTATGCCATTGTCTTTTTTTTTGCCTGGAGGAGAGATCACATGCTAGAGTTGTAATTACACTGTACTAAGCCATCTTCCAATCTGTTTCCCCACTCTCATTATAAAGAGGTGAGGCAAGAATTTCTGCTGTTGTATCCCTTAGTTCTAGCTAACAATCTCCTTAAACCTTTCATATCAATAAAGTAGGACAGTTATTTCAAATGTTCAGATGATCCAGTTATCATGTCAAATGCTTAAGAAGAGTGCCTAACACACAGGCATTCAATGAATGTCAGCTATTAATATAATTAGACTGGCTCTTCGGCTTTAAAAGACAAAAGAAAAAACCAACATTTACTGAGCACTTTCTAAATGCCAGCCATTTTGTCAGAAGCTCTCACCAGGGGCTAGTGGATATCTGTCACATAACCAGACAGCTGCTTTATTCTCCTGGGAACCTAGGACAGTGTTTGTCAAACTGCAGTCCATAGACACTCCTGTATCAGAATTACAGAGGACATCTGTTACAAATGTAGATTTCTGAGCCTAGTTAGACTTACTAAATCAAAGTCTAGAAATGCGGCCCAGGAATCTACATTTTTTTTTACAACCCTTAGTATTTCTTATGACCAATTTTTTTTTTTTTTAAATAGAGGCATGTTTTATTTATTTATTTATTTGTTTGTTTGTTTGTTTATACATGCACTGGGTACAGTCAGAAGCGCGGGAGGGTGAGAGAATTCACCAGAGACAGAGCAGGGAGCAGAGCAGGCAGAAGGACCGAAGTACACTGCTGAGGGGAGCAGCGGGCGGCAGGAGAGGTCTGCGCGCCATGTGGGACCCTCCTCCGGTGGCCGGGGAGCAGCCGGGGATCGAACCGGAGCCGCAGAGGCCGTGGGAAGCTTCGCAACCCAGCGCTCAACCGCTGCGCCACTGGGGAAGCCCTTATGACCAATATTTGAGAGCCAATTATGTCTAACAGTTCTAGACAGTACAGAAAAGATTTAGGTATATTGTATACTAAAAAAAAAAGCCACTGGTCCAGTTATTAGAGGATACAGATTCAACTTCCAGTTCTAGTTCCAGTTGTATGAATTTAAGTAAAAAATTTCCCCCTGAAGTCTGTCACATTTATCATAAAGTTGTCAAGGAAATGCTGAGATAAGGAAACACAGATGTGAAAGTATTCAGAAAATATCATATGTAAGACATTACATATATTATTGAAGTAGCAGAGAACATCAAAATACGAAAAAAACACCCCTGTACTTCTAAATTGAGACCAATTTAAGATAAGCAAAAAGAAAATCCTAATTAAATTTCTTCACTATCCAAATGTTAGTGTATTAACTTTACCTTACTGTCTGATTCAGTTTCTGACATGGAGCTTTCAGAAGATTTATGTGAACGGTTCTTCTTTTTCTTTTTTCTTTTTCCTTGTTTCTTATCCTACATAGAACAATTTTGAAACATTTGACTTCTGCTTCAAAAGATATAACTGACATTTTATTAAAAAAACCTTTATTAATGAACAAAACATAACAAAAAATCAGTTTCTAAATGTTTTACTTAGTAATGAGACTTGTATTACTTCCCTGTATTAAAAAAAAAAAAAAAAAGCGATTTGAGTGACATGTAATCCCTAGCATCTAGTTAAATAGCATTTTAGATTTTTTAAATTCATTTCTTATACTGGTATTTTTAAATTAACAAGATAAATTTAGGAATCTAAGATATATACCAATATTTAAACGCCTAGTTATTTATTCTTATCAGTGCTCTGTTATGTATAATTAATAAAGCCTAAAATAAACATTGCTAATATAGTTCACAATGGGTTTCATTAGTTCTTAATCCTTACAGGCAAACCTTACCTCATCTTCAGAATCTGAAGAACTGCTGGAAGAATCAGAGCTTGATGAAGAAGATGAATACTTGACCAAGCACAAAAAAATTAAAGCTTGTGAGATTCAGGAATTTTTTTCTTTTACTAAGTCTCTCAATACTTAAAGAAACCAATCTAATGCCTGAGAAATAAATGCCATATTCATAAAACTTATACATTAAAATGCCAAATGTGATATCTCTTTACCTCCACCCCCCCCAAAAAAAAAGGCTCAACAAAGCAAGGACAGATTAGCCAACTTTCCCTCCTTAATAATTATTAGTAGAGATACTAGGTTAACACGTTGGTACCTTTCTAACTTACCAGTAATCAAACACTCCCTGGCCCCCAAACTACCCACGGGTATAGAGACCTTGACTCATCTAGAGTCAACACAGAGGTTAAATAAATTACTCTTACATTTTCTGTAGAAAATGATTCTTTATTCTTAAATTCTCCTAATTGTAACATGTAGAAAAATGGAAAACTTTTGCTCACCCTACCAGATTTCTTCTTTTCTCTTTTCTTTCTCTGAAAGCAAACAAATGAAAGTACAAATCTAAATAACTTGATTAATTTTCAATTGTATCTAGTAACAGTACACAGCATTATTATAAAAACCCAAGAAATTAAGAACAGCACTAAACTAAAAGCTGTATTACCTGTCTTTTTTTGGATGAGCTCTCACTTCCACTTAATAATTTCTCCCTGTGTTTTTCTAGTTCTTTCTTCCAGTTCTGCAAAGAAAGTTATAAACATCATTAGAGGCTATCTCCTTCTATACACCTAATAAAGAGCGTGCCACTATTCCACATCCTCTTTTACCTCCCATCCTTCTCACCCTCTAATTACAGTCAAAAGATACTCCAGGTGCCAGAATTCTTTAATCTATCACTAAAGGAGCTTCTACTAGCTCCTTTCAAAGAGGACACTAAGAGGTGGGAGTTCTTCATTGTACTGTGAGAGCAGTAGATTTTATTACTGAGGTTGAGAAACATTTTTCATTTTAAAAAAGATGGTTAGATTCTCTTTCCAGACAAAAAAGATGGAATTGCTCTATACGACAGCTGAAATACTGCATATATGTCTGTAATGAAAACAGCAAATAACACCACAGAAGTCCCAGGGTATGAGGAGGATATCAGGGTTGGGGGAGAGAAGGGGAAATACCTGACATTTAACGTTAAGTTTTAAATTACTAAAAGATGATTAATCTCCCCTACATCATACATTTACATATAATCCTGTATTCAACATAACAAAACCACTTCTAAAATTCAGAGTCCCCTTAAAATAAAAACTATGCCCAAACTCTTGGTTTATTTAAAAATGATTTCATTTTTCTCATTATAAGAAAAAATATATATATATTTTTAATTGGTATTGTTTACAAACCTCATTCATTTTTTCTTCAAATTCAGCCAATGCTTTGGATCCTTTCTTTTTCTTTTCTAGTTGCTCTTTCACTTCCTCCCTTAAAAAACAGAATGTATAAATAAGTTTTCAAGCAATTCAAATTACAGATGGATGCTCAGAAGCAAGAATGTCACCATTTTTCTTAATATCCTAATAAACTTCCCCATTCCAATATTGATACATTTCAAATTTCTTTGTTCACATTGTTATAAATCAATTACCATAATAAAGCCTATCAGGTAACATTAAAATTTCCTCTTATAAACAAGGATTGTAAGAGCTAACATACCTAAGCGATCGAGCACTTTACAACAATGTTTTAATTACATTTTCCTTTTATGTTCACAACTACCCTACGAAAAAATGTAGTACCGTTAAGTCCTCACTTAATGTTTATGGGTTTTAGAACCTGCAACTTTAAAGAGAAACAACACATAATAAAACCAGGTCCTCGAATAACATAATTTCTTTCAATGTTGGCTGGGATTTCTTCTTCTTCTTTTTTCCTAGGATTTATTTATTTATTTATACAAGCACTGGGTACAGTCAGGAGCGCGGGAGGGTGAGAGAATTCACCAGAGCCAGAGGAGGGGCCAGAACAGGCAGACTGACGAAACATACTGCTGAAGGGAGCAGCGGGCACAGCAGGAGTGATCTGCGTGCCATGTGGGACCCTCGCCAGGGGCCGGGGATCGAACTGGCCTCTGCAGCCCAGTGCTCAACCACTGCGCCACCAGGGGAGGCCCTGGGATTTCTTCTTTTTTATCAACGTAAAGTCTAGAGAAGGCAAGAAATCTGCCTAATGTCACAGAGTTCATAGTTTCACTGTTAGGGTGAGCTAAGGTCTATTTGACTAAATTACTATATTTTAGTAAAACCTGTACTCAATTTTATTTTATTATGTATCTCAAGTGTTATACATGAAAGAGCACACCTGTTTATTCCTAGAAAGGCATGCTTACAGGGTTAGTCCTGGCTGGTGTCTAGGACCTTTTTCAGGAGGGCCCTTACCATTTATTCCCTGAGATATGGGCTCACTGTGGCTAACAGCTGTACAAACTCCACAGTTAATGCATAACAACCTTCCTCCTGGGAGTTCAGAATTTTGACACCTGATAGGCAGAGGCTGACCAATCCACAATAAAATCCCTGGGTACTGAGTCTCTAATGAACTCCTCCAACTGATATGTATTATCTTGTGTGTTATCACAATTTGGAGCTAAGGAAATCAAGTGCCTCCTGTGTATATTCATGGAAAGGAAGCCTTGGAAGCCTGTGCCTGGTTTCTCTTAGTGTTCACCTCATGTACTTTTTTCCTCTGCCAACTGTGGGTGGTATCCTCTCACTGTAATAAAATTTACCCATAACGACAAACCATCTGTGAGTCCTATTGAATTACCCAATCTGAGAAATGTCTTGGGGACCTTTGATACACACGTAAATTTACTCATTTGAGTACTTACTTCTCCTTTCAAGTTTATTTCTTTCTTCCAATATTAAAGAAAAATATGCTTTGTTTTGGGATAATTTATTTTCTGGCATGCTTCAACAGCACCCACGGACACTCTAAGGTGGTGAGATGGCTTACTTCCTGTTTAATTCAAAGAAAGGATTTCCTGTTTTATATAAACATGACTCCCGATCACAGTGGCCCAGCTTTCAGGGGTACTTAAGGAGGATTCTGAAGCTAATAATTCTGAGCTTGTCATATGTTACCATAGGAGTATAGTATTTAATAATGGGGAAGACAGTCTAAAAATACATAAGGTCTGTGGAATGATGCTTTATTTACAAAAGATCAGAGTTACTCAACCTGAGTAGATCCCCTACCCCCAAAACAATTTAAAACAAAAATTTTACAGTGGGTGGGCCTCCCTGGTGGTGCAGGGATTAAGGACACAGCGTTATCAACTACTGCTAGCTGCTGCAACATGAGTTCAATCCCCGGCAAGGGAGCTGACCCATATGGTGTAGAAGACCTCCTGTCTCGCCTGCTGCTCCCCTCAGCAATGTATTTCAGTAGTTCTGCCTGTTCTGTTCCCCACTCTGTCTCTGGTGAACCCGCTCACCCCCCACACTTCTGGCCTACACCCAGTTCTTGTATGCATAAATAAATCTTAAAAAAATTTTTTTACAGTGGGAAAATCTACTAAGCTATCCACACCATTCTATGCAAAACCTAATGTTATCTAGATGAAATTAGAAATAAGAATGAATACTATCCTTCCTATCACCTAGCTATACCTCAATGAAGGGTGAGATTATTCAAACCTATCAATTTATTTATTTATTTATTTAAAGGTTGGAAATTTATTTTTTTTTTAAGATTTATCTATACAAGAACTGGGGTATAGTCAGAGGCATAGGAGGGTGAGAAAATTCACCAGAGACAGAGCGGGGAACAGAACAGGCAGAAGGACCAAACACACTGCTGAGGGGAGCAGCAGGACAGACAGGAGAGATCTGCCGTACCATGTGGGACTCTCCCTGGCCAGCTGAGAAACGAACCCATGATGCAGAGGCTGCGGACAGCTTCACAGGCGCTCAACCTGCAGCATCACCAGGGAGGCCCTCAAACCTATCAATTTAAATGGCTTAGAACACAGGAAGATTAAGGTTATCTTTTAAGAAAAATACTGATATAAAAGGGCTATTGGTACTTTGGCTATACTGGACAATGGGCTCTAAAATGTTTGACAAACTCATGCATGTGTTTCACATATTCAAATGAAAGTACATGTCAAGTATTACTTTAAAAAAGGATATATATGGCAACTACATGATGATCAATAAAAGTTGTGAAAATAACCTTTAAAAGTTTGTGTAAAACCTTATAAATAGATAAATTATTTTAAAATACCAGGTAGGTCTTGGTCGATTCAGATAATCTTGGATTGTTGGCCCTGAAGACTGGATTGGACCCCTTGATCTGGCCATTGCAATTGGGTTCATATACGCCTTGAGGAAAAAACAAAAATTAACTCCATTAAAATAGCCATTAAAAATGCAAAAGTTCACTACTCATTAACCGATCATCATTACAAATGTTTAGTATGCCCAATTAAGCCTGAGCAATGTGACTAACCAATTTTTTCATTACAGAAAATAAACTTAATACTATTAAATCTCACAAATTTGGAAGGCAAATAATTACTATTTCATAAAAAATGTGTTTCTACCAGAGATTTAAGGAAAATAACAATGATATCTCTAAGTTACTACAAGAGGACATTATAGCACTTAGGTGGTAACACTGTACTTGTAACAGGGTGGTCCCCAGGAAAGGGGGAGGTTCCCTGCCCCACCCAAGGGAGGGTGGAGCTGAGCAGGAAGAGGAGAAGCTGAAGAAGAGACTGAAGAAGGAAGCAGGATGGAGCCAGGAGACCTGGAGGAGGCGCATGGAGCCTAGAGACACGTGAAGAAACTGCGCTTGTCTTTTGGTCGTGGACTGGGTGACACAGATGTGGGTGAGACCTGTGGAGAGGTGACAATGGCAGCTTTTATCTTGATGTTGATTTTGCTTCTTTTCCTTCCGGGCTTGTCCAGTTGTTTGTGACCCTTTTCTGTGGGTCCCCACTGGAAGATGCTTTAGACTTATGGCAGGCCTTGGGGCCTTGCTCTGGGCCAATCCCATTTGGATGGACTTTTACCCACAAGGGGATGGGTAACTTTGGGTGCTTGATTTAGAAACTAGATTCTTTGCCTTACCTGTATTGTTTCCTAGTTTTATTAAAGTTCCTTTTCATTAAAGTCTCCTATGTTTTGTGTTGATGCGGCGGATGGCAGAACCCATTTAGAATAGGCAGGTTTGCAGGGTTTTGGGCTGCCCCTCTCCCTGTCCTATAACAAGGTGACCATGGCAGCTTTTATCTTGATGTTGATTTTGCTCTTTTCCTTCCGGGCTTGTTTGGTTGTTTCTGACTCTTTTCTGTGGGTCCCCACTGGAAGATGCTTTAGACTTGTGGCAGGCTTTGGGGCCTTGTTCTGGGGTCTCACCCACATCTGTGTCACCCAGTCCACGACCAAAAGACAAGCGCAGTTTCTTCACGTGTCTCTAGGCTCCATGTGCCTCCTCCAGGTCTCCTGGCTCCATCCTGCTTCCTTCCTCAGTCTCTTCTTCAGCTTCTCCTCTTCCTGCTCAGCTCCACCCTCCCTTGGGTGGGGCAGGGAACCTCCCCCTTTCCTGGGGACCACCCTGTTACATACTCACTGGTAACTAAAGAAACCGAATTTGAAAGAAATTAAAGAAAACCTAATTCTACATACACCAGTTATTCTATTTTATCTTCTATCTTAGGAAATACAGTGCCAATACTGACAACAATTTTATTTGCAAATTGAAATAAAAAATTAATTGTGCCCAATCAACAAAAGAAAGCGGAGAACCTCATCAATATTAGAACTGTCTGTGCATTAAAGGACACTAAGCGTGAAAAGACAATTCACAGGAAGAGAGAAAATAGTTGCAAATCATGTCTGATAAGGGACTCACTAGTAACCAGGGAAATGCAAAACAAAACTATAATGAGATGCCACCTCACACACATTAGTATGGCCATTATCATAACCAGAAAATAACGAGCATTGTCAAGGACATGGAGAAAGTAGAACCCTTATGCATTGCTGACAGAAATATAAAATGGCGCAGTTGTTGTATAAAGTTTGGTGGTTCCTCAAAAAATAGTAAGTAGAATTGTTGGATCATATGATAACTGAAAAGAACAGAAAGCAGGGAGCCAAGCAGATACTTGAACACCCCAGGTGCAAAGCAGCATTATTTACAATAGCCCAAAAGGTGGAAACAAATCGGAAGTCCATTTACAGATGAATGGAAAACAAAATGTGGTATATACATACAATGGAATATTATTCAGTTTTAGAAAGGATTTTTTTTTTAAGGTAACAATGGATTACATGATTGTATTTTAGAGGTATAGTATTTCCCTCTTCGGGAGTTGTAAGTACACCACACCCACTAAAGCACTCATGGTCCATCTCCAATATTACATTGTGCGCCCTTCCTATATCCCTCTCACTCGGACAGCCTCAGTTTTGTTTTTGTTTTTTTTAAAGACTTATTTATTTATGCATACAAGAGCTGGGATACAGACCAGAGATGCGGGGGGTGAGAAGATCCACCAGAGATAGAGTGGGGAACAGAACAGGCAGATTGACTGAAATAGACTGCTGAGGGGAGCAGCAGGCGAGACAGGAGAGGTCTGCTGCACCATGTGGGTTTGTCCCTGGCTGGGGATCGAACTCGTACTGCAGAGGCTGCAGATTGCTTCACAGTGCGGTGCTTAACCCCCTGCACCACCAGGGAGGCCCTGACAGCCTCAGTTTTATAGTCAGATTTCTAGCGTTTGTTGTTAGTTTGGCTACCCAACCCTTTGCTTGCTTTCTCTATACTAAGTGATGCTATTTGGTATGTCTTTCACCTCCTGTTTTATTTTGCTTAGCATAATCTCCTCTGGGTCCATCCATGTTGTTGCAAATGACAAGAGTTTATCTTTTCTGGTGGCTTAGTAGTATTCTGAGGGTAGTAGTATTCTGCAAATATATATATATTATATATATAAAATGCTGTGATGAACATGGGAATGCATATATTGCTTTGAACTAGTGTTTTTGCATTCTTCAGGTAGATATCTAAGAGAAGAATTGTGTGGTCATATTTTTAACATTTTGAGAATTTTTCATACTGTTCTTTTATGGTGACTGGATCAGTCCATATTACTACCAACGGTGTAAGAGGGTTATTTTTTCCTCCATATGCTCATCAGCACTTGTTATTTCTGATATGGGCACTTGTCTTTTTGATATGGGCCATACTCACAGGTGTGAGGTGGTATCTCATGGTGGTTCTGATTGCATTTTTGTGAGGATAAGGGATGATGAGCATTTTTTCATGCGCTTGTTGGCCATCTGTATGTCTTCTTTGGGAAAGTATCTGTTTGGCTGTTATGCTGATTTTTTGATTGGGTTGTTTTCTTTTTTGTTGAGTTGCATGAGTTCTTTGTAGATCTTGGCTATCAGCCCCTTTTTGGATGTAGGGTATAGAAAGGAATTAAATTCCAAAACATGCTAAGTGAAATAAGGCAAACACAAAAGGAATATATACTTCCCTCTATATGAGGTACCCACAATAAGCAAATTCATAAAGACAGAAAGTAAACAGAAGTTACCAGGAAAAGTTTTTTTTGTGTGAGATGATGGAAAAGTTCTGAAAATGCATAGTTGTGACAGCTACACAACTTTACAAATATACTTAATGTCTCTAAACTATAAACTTAAAAATGGCTTTAATAGTACAATAAAAAATCTGCAAAATGTTAAATCAGGTTCCTATTTTTAATTTTTATTTTATATATTTTTACATCATTTTTCATTTGTGTACAATGTATGCATTTTCATCTTGTTTATAGTACAATTCCACCCACCCCTGTTTTGATCCTACTCCCTTTCCCCCTCTCCCCCTAGTGTGTCTCTGGTTTATAGCTGCTTGTTGATTTTGATTTTTACTTTATTATAATTAGTCTTTTTCCTGATCCCTTATTATAGCAGAAACATTTTAAGAGTCATTTTCCCACAAAAATATTGAGACAAAATAAATAGGTTTCTTTGTTAATGATAGTGTCTAGCAAAGAGTGTCTAGTTCTTTTATTAAAATTCACTTTGCTACAAATAAACTGTGGTCTTTATTTTTTTAATTTTTTTAAGAATACAGTTTATTCCTGCCTTTTTAAAAAAAGATTTATTTATTTATTTATTTATACAAGAACTGGGGTACAGGCCAGATATGCGCAGGAGGTTGAGAGGATTCACCAGGGACAGAGTGGGGAACAGAACAGACAGAGTGGGGAACAGAACAGGCAGACTGATGAAATACACTGCTGAGGGGAGCAGCAGGTGACACAGGAGAGGTCTGCTGCGCCATGTGGGACCCTCGCTGGCCGGCTGGGAGCAAACCGGCACTGCAGAGGCTGTGGACAGCTTCACAGCGTAGCGCTCAACCGCCTGCGCCACCAGGGGAGGCCCTAAACTGTGGTCTTTAATTTAGTCTCAATTCCTTGATCCTTAAAATGATTTTTCCAAACTGAATTCAAGGAAAACAACACTTTACAAAAATCTTACTTTTTTGGATTGAAAATGACATTTATAGGATTGGTTTTAAATTCTTAATCTGAACACTTAACATTCCAAAAGAAGCAAAAGTAGACAATGTATTCGTTATATTTCATTTAAGGAAATCTGTTAAAAATCCAACATTCCCACCTTCATAATAAGCACAATTTATATACTTCAGATTTTTCTGGTAGAGTACACAATATAAAAACCACGATAATCAACATGTTCAAGAATTATTACATGTAATTGGGCACTGCCAAATTACTTGGGATGAAAAAGTTAAGCCTTTAATATCATTTTCTTAAAGGCAGAAATGAATGCCAGAGCCCCTTACTGTTAGAGATGTTTAGACAATCAGGGCTATATGTGGATATTATGTGCAAATTTAAAGACAGAGATTCTGATTTTTTATCATCTGTCCTTAAATATTTCATTTGACTGCCTTTGCTGAGAATGCCAAACAGTTAGTATGGAAAGGTGAAAACCAATGGGTTCACTGTTAGCTCAACTGATGACACTGACAATCCTAATAACTAAGTAATTATAAGTACCGTGTGCAAGCTAAGCTCATTTTGGAAACAGCAGTGTAATATCTATCACCTCATTTCTCTGGTATCACACGATAATTTTAGCAGTATGTAATGATAAAATGTTTGAAGATTAAAATGTTTCTTTCCAAAGAGTACAAATATATACAAGGGTGTTCAAAATTAAGTTACTATACAGCCATTAAAAGGAGATACACAGTTACTGATATTGAAAGATGTCCAGGATTTCTTAAGTGGAAAGAAAAAAACAAGTTGTCAAGCAAACAACAACAAAAACCATTTTAATAAGCAGCTATAAAATTTTAGACACGTGTACCAAAAAACTGGGTTGTTAGAAAAGCCATGATGTATTTTTCCTGTTTTCTATGCAAATATGAGCCATGACTTTTCTGACAACCCACTATAAACAGGACATGTTCATTATCATTTTGCATATGAATAAAAAATTTTAACTAACTTATTACCTTTAGAAAAGGAAAACAAAAAATGTACACAAATATTATGATAACATTACTAGTGAACAAGGGGAAAAATGCAACCAACAAATTATACTGCCATTCCAATTGAGAGAGTAGATATCTTCACGTAAAAAATTCACAAATAGGGCCTCCCTGGTGGTGCAGTGGGTTGAGCACAGCGCTGTGAGGCCATATGCAGCCTCTGCAGCATGCATTCGATCCCCGGCCCTGGAGATACCCACATGGCACGTCAGACCTCTCCTTTTGCACCGGCTGCTCCCCTCAGCAGTGTATTTCAGTCAGTCTGTCCTGTTCCCCACTCTGTCTCCGGTGAATCCTCTCACCCTCCCATGCCTCTGGCCTGTACCCCAGCTCTTGTATAAATAAAAAATATATATTTTTAAAAAATAAAAAAATTCACAAATAGTGCAGTAGAATTGCTTCATTCTAATTTCTAAAATATCTAACCCATTGTACGGAAAATGAGTAAATCAGGGTATTTTTCACTTTCCACACAAAAGAGAGCCCATACCTAGAAATGTTTTCCACCATTTAAACATTTAGCAAACAATAAATGGTCCTTACCTTTGCAACAATGTAACGGTTATGTGGCCATGGGCACTACACTGTAAAGGGGGCTAGGCAGTAGAATTCTGCCTCTCTGAGTTGGAATCTCTGTATTGCTCTGTCTACCTGCCTATGTAAACAGTCCGGTCTCAGCCTTCTGGGACTGCAAAATAGAGACTACAAATTCTCTTCTTATCCGGGAGAACTGACAATGAACCTACCCAGCGTGGGATGATGGCTTCACAACACATATTTACTGTGTTTTACAGTCCTCAAGTTTTCTAGCATATCTTAAAAGTACATTAACATTTTTATGTGTCTTAATGTCGACTGTGAAACTTCTTTCCCAAAATACATACCAAACTACTTGACTGTTTATTTTGGAATAACTTACCAAAAAGCAAAATAGTAAATAGTATATTAGCATGCTTCAACTATTATTTACAACTTATGGTACAATCATATGAGCTGTTAATGAATAAAGCTCAACTGTTAAGCTTTTGACCATAAATACTGTCTTAGGTCTGCCTGAGTACACTCCAAATATCTCCTTATTTAGTTCAATTAGAATAGCAATATTTATTTAAGTGCATCTTATGAACTGGGTTCCACGAAAAAAAAAAATGTGTCAGTATGGCCTCATGATCATTAAGCAACAATGCTTCTTTTTAATATGCACAACAGAAAGGGTTTTAAAACAACAAAGAAAGTAAATAATTTATGAAGGTAAAGCATTATCACTTCTTATGCACCAGTGTGGAAAAACAGTGCCTCTAACATTAAGGGGGTGGTTCATTAATCATTAGTTGAAACAGCGAAACGGTGCAATTTCTTGAAACATCTCGTTATAATTAACCGCTTTTAATACTATAACGTTATAAATCAAACATTCATATTCATATATAACTAGAATCAGCTGCTTCAAGTGTTCGGATGACAAAAAACCATTTGTTTTTGAAACTCAGAATGGCAAATTTGGCTTAAGGTAGAAAAGAGCAATGCAGTAAAACTAAGGACAAAATGTGCAGAACTTCATTTGTTACTTTTATTAGTCATCTTTATCTAGAGAATACATGTTTTAAAGAGTACAAAGTAACATAAAAGAATATGAAGGAAACTTCTAGAAAACAATGGGCACAATGGATGTCCATCATGAATTATACAGCATTTACAATCCCGAATTAAAATCTTCAGTAAAACAAAACAAAACAAAACAACAAAACTGTTCAAGAAAGTACACCACCAAAAATGAACGATAATGGAAAGGGATTTTGGGTGAATGTGTCAATGTAGGTCCATCACTTGTAACAAAAGTGCTCTGGTGCCTGATGTTGAAAATGAGGGCTATAGCAGGGAATGAGAACTATCTGTACTAAACGTTAAAGTTTGAAATGAACTTAAAACTACTCCAAAAAATAAAGTCTATTTTAAAATGTCTTTTCCAACGGAAATTTAATAGTTTCACAAAAAACAAATCTGTCATCCTTAAAACTATGTATCAGCAACAACATAAGGGGGTGGGGGAAATGCCAGTATTTTCAGAGGCATTCTTTATTCAAAATGCACAAACTAAGTATCAAATGACCCAAGTCCTGTCTCCTTTATGCAATGAAGAGAATGAATTAGACAAAGTCTTCTTACCTCTTAAATTAATGTTTCATTTCCGAAATTTTTTTCAGGTGGAAACAAAATGTTACCAGAACAGTCTGTGGCACAGCAGTATACCAAGGAATGAAACTGTAATTTTCAAAATGTTCTGGTAAATGAAGCTAATTTGAAAACAACTTCAAATGCTTTAAACGGATGTGCAAACCAACAGCATTTCCCAGTAAAACAAACATCTCAGGACTCTCTGAAAATGCACTGAAGGTCTGTAATTTCTAAACATTTAAGGTCCAAGGCACTAAAAAGCCAAAACACTCCCAGCATTTCAAACCTAAGGATACTACAGCAGAAACCTTTTCAACTCTGAGAATTAACCAGGTTGACCTCCAGCCAAGAAAGGAGTTAAAGAATATTTCTCAATCTTGTCATGAAGGGTCACTACAGTGGTTCCCAGACATTTTTGAATATGAAGACGACAGAAAACAAAAACGTTTTAAAAATGGGAAGTTGGGCCTCCCCGGTGGCGCAGCGGTAGAGCGCTGGGTTGAGAAGCTGCCCGCAGCCTCTGCGGCGCCGGTTCGATTCCCGGCTGCTCCCCGGCCACCGGAGGAGGGTCCCACATGGTGCGCAGACCTCTCCTGCCACCCGCTGCTCCCCTCAGCAGTGTACTTCGGTCCTTCTGCCTGTTCTGCTCCCCGCTCTGGCTCTGGTGAATTCTCTCACCCTCCCGCGCTTCTGACTGTACCCAGTGCATGTATAAACAAAACAAATGAACAAACAAATAAATAAATAAATAAAACATGCCTCTATAAAAAAAAATAAAATAAAATATTAAAAAAAAAAAAATGGGAAGTTAACATTTCATGAAACCTTTAGCCACCTGCCCCCACAAACCATAAAGTTATATTAAAATTAAAAAGCTAGGGCCTCCCTGGTGGCACAAGGGGTTAAGATGAAACCTATGAA